GAAGGAGCCAGGAGTCTCCTTCCTGTCTCGGTGGGAGGAGAGAGATGAGAGAAATGCTCGTAGGGCTTCTCGGCTTTTTTCCTGGGGGTCTAGGAGGGGAACAGCCTCCTTCTAGAGCGTGGCCGAGCCTCTCCATCACGCTCTGAGGGCCAGGTGGGATGGCCCTACAAGGGCAGGATGGAGGTGGGAGCTCAGGGACAGGTTTTGGGGTCAGGGCAGAGCAACAAGGGAACGGATGCCTGGTGGGAGAAGTCCACACGGTCGGGGACCCTTTTAAAGATGCCCTAAGGAGATAAAACTGGTCATGGGCTTTGGGGTGAGTGTTATGGGGTGCACCCAAACCCCTTGCTGAAGCCTGGGAAGATGAGAAATAAATTCATGGGAGGGTGACTGGTTGGACCGGAGCAAACCACAGATCCATTTTTGGTTGATTTTATTAAAGCAGATGCAAAGATATGAAAACCCCAAAGCATGCCCACCAAGGAGGCAAGCACGGGAGGGACGGACCCAGAGCAGCACTCACAAAGATGTTCAGAAGGGCGCTGGGAATTACCAAGTCCTCTCCTTGTGAAATCGAACACAGAAGAATGAGGAGAGGTGTTCAGGTGACAGATATTGAGGTTGACCATGCATGTCCTGATAAATTCTTTAGGATTTTCGAATGGGAACTGTAAATTCACCTGTTCTGGTGCAGCCTGCTGGTCCAGCTGCCCAACATCCTAGACCTGGACACAGCATCGTGCTGGAGGGTGCTGAGAAGGGGCTGGTTTTGGGGAAAAAACGGGTTTTCAGGCTGATGGCTGCACGAACACCAGTGTTGACCGCTCCTATCCTGAGATACCAGCGTGGGAGATGCTATGATGAGAGAGCAGGAGAAGGGGAATTGCTGCATCCTCCTGGGGCTACTTAAAGCATTGTATAGGAGCAAGGAGATCCTCGCTGGGGACGTGGCCAAGGTGCAACCAGAAGAGTGGCACGGGAAGGGGCTGCAGCCAGCTGCGGAGCATCGCAGCACCCGGGAGCTCCTCTAGCAGATAACCAGGAACAAAAACGGTGTCCCCTGACCCCCAGGACCCTCCAAAAGACTGTTTATAAACCAGCATCACCCAGGTGGTGCAACGGTGTTTTGGTGGCCCCCCTGACCTGGTGCAACCAGGGAACAAAGCCACCGGGAAGGGAATCGCCTCTCGCGGCGCCCGCCGCGCGCGATTCCTCTTCCCCCCGCCTTCCTCCCCGTCTCTGCCTTGCAGTGGGAGCCTCTCTCCTCTCATCAGCACAGACAAGGCTAATTGGGGTGATAAAGAACTGGCTCCGAGTGCTGGCGTGGGCTGGAGGAACAAATGGTGCGGTGGTCACAGCTGGTGCTGCGGAGACGGCGAGGGAGCGAGCGCGAGGCAGGGCTCCCGGCGCCCGAAGTTCCCTCGAGCCCATGCTGGATGCGAGGTGGGGGGCTGTGTGTGTTTTGCATTCGCTGCTGACACGGGTGTAACGTACATGCGCGGCCGGTGAGGCAGAAGCAGGCAGAAAGCAGATGCTTTTTGTTTGGGGTTGATACTCATTTCTATCCCAGCTCGGGAAAAGGTGTAGAAAGGAATGTGCTCCGACGAGCGCAGGGAGAGAGATAGGTCTAGGCGCTCTGCCAGGGATCCTGCGACGATATGGAAGGCAGCTAGGGGAGACAGGAGCAGATGGATTTGGCATACAGCTCATCACTCAGCCAAAAAGAGGAGGGGAGGGGGGAGAGAAGGAGGAAGAAAGCAGCCAATTTGGGGAGGGGGAGGGTCATGCGGCCCGACGACGGATGCCGCACCGCGAGGAGGGGGAAGGGATGAGCAGCCTGGTCACCGCGTCTCCTGCTGCCTCTGTGGGGCTGCCGAGGAGCCCTGGAGGTGGGTTGGGGTCTCAGGGGGGCTCTGCAGACCCTGCTGGCCACCCTCTGTCCTCCAGCAAGCAGCAGGGCAGGGGCCGAGGTGATGCCAAGCAGGGGATGTTGTAAATGAAGGCACCGAGCGGCTGCTGCTTGGTGGTGCCGGGGCACCCGAGAGAGCCTGGGGCACAGCATCAGCTGTCTGAGGACATGGGGAAAATGTTGTGGGTTTCCTGGGGAAGGGGAGATGCTCCATGGCCACCAGACACCTCTGCTTGAGGCTCGGTGCAGCCACGGTGTGAAACCACCGAGCTCCTTTGTGGGACCTCACGGCAAGGCACCGCCGCCGCACGGCCACCTAGCCGAGAGGCAGAACCTCATCAAGCTGCCTTAAAATGCTTCTGCGGGGTCAAAACCAGCCTGTTTGGGATTTGGAGGTTTTGTTCCCGCAGTAAAATTGTCTAAATATTCTTCTTTCAGATATTTTGGAGCTTCTTTTCTTCTTTTAATTGACAGCAGCTGAAGGACCGCTGCTAGGACCAAAATCACAAATCTCTCCTGCAACCTGCGCTCAGTTTTACAAGGCTTCCCAAAATTAAAAAAAAATGTCTAAAGAATAAGTTAAAGACCGTAAGGTTTTCCTTAAAAAGAAACTCTTCCCAAAACTTCTCCCAGCTGTCAAACAATGAAGCACTCCACATGGACCCCCTTTCTAAGGATAAAGTTGAGGAAATCGGCGTTTGCCAAGGAGCACCACTTGGAAACGCCACAGACCTACGGTCAAGCCAAGGTGAGAGATTTGGGAAATGACCCATCTCACCCCAAAAAAAAACACGGAAGATGTTTTTCAGAAGTTTTCTAGGCCAGCTTCAAGGCCTTGGCACCCTGTTACAGCAAGCACCAGGCAGCCACCTGCTTTGCATTTGTCCAAACTCTCCCTTCCACCTTGGCATTTATTGATCTGCTGCTCCAAGGAGCCCTGCCAGAAGTTTCGACCCCATTAAAGCCTTCAAAGATTATTAAATAACCCCTTTGTTAAGTCCTTCTCCTTTAGTTAAATTTATTGTTTGCAGCACTGATGCTAAAGCTCTTCCTGAGCACTTTAAAGCCTTCCTAGCTGGACACAGCGGCTGACTCGTGACTGATGTGCACAGCAATAAATAACTGTGTCGGTAACCCAGACTCAGTTTGCTGGCCAACTCACAATCCAGGGGAAAAAGGATTATGAAGCAAACATTTTTGTTACCTTTTCCCTGAAATTAATAACACAAATCAAACGGAGTTGATTAGAAAATTCATTTTTTGTTTCCCTCGAGTCTTTTAGGCTCCCCTCTTTTACGGAAACATTCACAGCTTTGGGAAGAAAAAAAAAATCACCTCCAGTCCAAATGTTTTCCTCAAAAGCACGGAAACGAGCTATTTGGCTCCCTTTGCACCCCTGATGCTGGCTGGGATACCAAGGAAATTGCAGCAGAGCTGGGACAGATGCAGCTGGGGTCAGCAGTTGGGTGCCCCATGGGGCTGTCCCCGGCCAAAATGTGTCTGGATCTGGCCCCACCTCGGTGCAGGAGCCTGGCCGTGGGTTTGGCACCATCCCTGTCCCCATCCCAGCCGAAAACTGATCCAGGGGTGGGTTCCCAAAAGGCAGGGATCAAAGGGAGCGTGGAGGCACCGAGCAGGGGAGACCCCACCAGAAGATGCTTTGGGTGGAGAAGCCAACAAGGGCTGGGAGCCGAAATAGAGCAAGCCTCTGGTGCTCTGAACCCATCTATTTAGGAAAAAAGGTGAATTTTTGTGATGTATTCCTGTAACCATCCGTGTTAGCGTGAGCCTGCTGCTTCTGAAGAAGTCGGGCACAGCCTCCACCCAGGAATCGGAGTAGCCTGGGGCTGTAAAAACAAGTAAATGACTGCAAATAGGGCTCAGGGGCTGTAGCTACAACTAAAGCATTGTAAATACGGCTCAACAACTGCAAATAAAACTCAAAAACTGTAAATACAGCTCAAGGACTGTAAATACAGCTCAAGGACTGTAAGTACAACCCAGTTGCGCTCAGGGTTGGGCAGGTTTGGTCTCTGCCCACCGAAGTTTTCCTCCGTTGCTCGCCGGCTTTGTCAAAGCAAGGCAGCAGCAGCCAAAGCTGAACAAAGCAGACAAGCAGCTCCTCGGGAGCGCATTCGCTTTGCACCACCCTTGTCAGCGCCACGTAGGTGGATTCACACATGGGGCTGTGTAAAGTTAGGAACAATGAGGCGAGCCGTGCGACTCGCAAGGCTTATTTATATTTTTTTGGGTACAAATTCGGAGCCCCTCGAGCTGTGCCTGGCGGGTGGGCACCGTCAGCTCCCCGCCAGGTACAGAGGCTGCACCCAGAGCCCTGTTTGGAGAGAGGAAAACTGGAATATTTGGCCGTGCTGGCTCTCGAGGGCTATCCATTTCGGAAAGCTTCTCTGTCAGGGATGCTGTGACCACCAGCAGCCAAATCCTGCAGCCTGGAGATGCTTTTTTCAGCCCCGACTGGAAAGGGTCGCACCGCGGCCACCCGCGTCCCCCTGCCACGACATCTGTTAGGTATAAAGTCTGTCAGCGCCGGTGCCGGTGCCACAAGCTCTTCACACTCTCTCACATCTGCTGACACCTCCGCACCGTCCCCTGAACACGTCACTGCTTTTAGCAGAGCACGAAACAGAGCCAAAGTGTCAGCGGCACCTCGGGTGCCATCAGGTTTCCGCGCGGCGCCGAGCGGGAATATTCCTCGTGCTCAACAGCTGCTTGGATGGAGAGGTGCAATTGCTTCTGAGACAGCTACAAGGCTCGGGATGTTACCTTCAATGGGAAGAATTGACCCTGCCCTGAAGCAGAACGGGATGGTTTGTAGGATTTATGAGTCGGTTATGGGATAGCGCCTTTATCCCGGGGAGGAGGGAGTTTTTACCTTCAGCTCCGCGGATCTGCGAGCACGGAGTTGCAAATGAGTGTATCACAGCTCCTCGGAAGAAAACTAATCTGCATCGCTTCTGCATTAAAAAACAACGCAGTAATTGGAAGGGAAGGAAGGAAAACGTGGCATTTGGGGCATTTCAGTCCCCACATCCAAATCTCTGCCAAACTGCGGGTTTTGGGCTTCTGGGGAAGGAGAGTGCTGCTTACGGCACCAGAAACCCCAAAGTATTAAAACAAACAAGCAAAGGTTTTGAAACCATCAAGTTTTAAGTAGCAAGACCCCCAAAAAAAGTTCTTGCTGAGCCGGAGAGAGAAGCCAAGACAAAGGCACGACGCATCTTGCATACGGTGAAGAACCACACAAAAGGGCTTTGCAGAAGATAAAACACCTCTTGTCCTTTCTGATGGAGATGAAGGTCTCCTCGTGTGTAGGGTAAATGCTCACCAGGTGAACTTTCTACACCCAAAACTGCAGAATTTAGGGCTAGCTCAAGTCACGGTGCCTTGCCAGAACAGAAGGTCCTTCTAAAGAGATTTTGGGTTGTCTCCCCTCTTCTGGAAGGAACAAAATCCTGCTTTTGGGAGTGATAAATGCAGCGAGTTTCCTTTTGATGACACGGAGCAATTCGGTCCCTTCTCGTCACTGTCCCTAAGCACTTCTGCCACCATTTGCTGCTGCTCGGTGAGAGCATCGAGCCCTGCGATCCCCTAGGAATTAAGAAGGACCCCGATGGGTGCTGCAGGGTTTTGGGAGAGCCTTGCTGCTTTAGGGAAGCCGAGCAAGTTCCTCGGGACCCCAAGCCTCCGACGCATTTCCTCCCCTTGAAGGACCAAGAGCCTCGATGAGAAACAGGCTGTGGGATCCGAATGATTTAAAAAGCAATTACAGATAATTATATAGACGGGGGAAATGTGATTAATAGCTCGTTCTCTGCAGAAACCGAGCACGCTTACGGCAGGCAAGTCCGGACAACTGGCTGCCTTCCTTCGCTCGCATCCTTGATGTCTCACTCGGAGTGATCTGAGCTTTAGAGGAGCTAAAACAAGTGTCTGAGGGCACGAAGGAAGCACTTAGATAACGTTGAGAATGGGGATAACGAAGGCAACAAGAAGGGAAGATCCAGGGATGAACCCACTCGGACCAAATACAGAAGTTGACCAAGAAAGGGAACAAATTTTTGGGGTGGGCTGGCAGAAAGAAAGGCAAGGTCTCAGCTTTCAGGCCGGGAGAAAACGAGCAAAACCAGAGCCCCGTGGGAGCTCAGAGGGTTTCACAAGGCAGGAGGGGAGCAGGGGGAGATCGGACTGGATGATCTTGTAGGATTTTCAGCCTCATGCTTCTCGGGCTGCCACCAAGGGCAGGAATCCCGGGGAAGAGCTTCGCAGGAGCCGCTGTGTTTACAGTAGGTGCTGCTGAAAGGTGTCCCGAAGAAAGACAGCAATTAACAGGCCTGGAAGAAAAAAAAATGGCTTTTTTCCACAAAGAGCCTTTTAAGTGTGTTTTTCGTGCCACTTGAAGGGTTAATGTTTAGCTGTTTATCCGGAGTTGTCGGATGTCAGCTCTTTCCTTTGACTCCTAATGGCTTATAGCCATCAGGAGGTGAAGACTCCTCAAAAGAGCTGGTGTCAGGAATGTTTTTTTTATGCCCACCAGCACCCACACACCTGCAGGAGCCTGTGCTTGCAGGACGGATAGTTTACATACTTGAACCTGTATCCCAGGGACAGAGATATAAACATGAAACCAGATCCCATCCCACCGTGCCGTTGAAGCCCCTGGGCAGTACAAAGGGGTCCTTTCTCCCACACCCACCTCCAGTGACCACAAAAAACAGCCCTGCTGGTCCAGGTCGTGGTTTTTAGGGCTGGCCCCTGACAGGTTTTGCAGCACCTTTAGCTCCAAAGCTTGGCTGGGAAACAAAAGGGCAGCTCCAGGAATCGCCCCCCCGTCACAAATCAAAGCCCCTCGGACAAGGGGGAACAAAGCCAGCGGCTCGGGATCAATCAGAGCCCCGCTCATTCGTGACCTTCCCCAGGTGAGGGATGTCACCGAGCCTCATAATTACCCCGCGAGGTGCAAACCGAGGGGTTGTAAATGTTGTAAATCTCAGCACTGAGACCTCTCCTACGGGCGTTCAAAGGGCTGCTGGAGCTGATGCGCCTGGAGACCGGATCCTTCCTCTTCCTGGGCTCTTCCCAAAAAAATAATAAAGAAAGCAGCATCAAACAGAAGAGATGGGGAGTTATAATGATGAGGATTTATCCTCAGCACCCCTTTTTCAGAGTCCCTGCCCGAGCAGGGCGCTGGACCAGGTGGATCCTGAGGTTTCTCCCAAGCTCAGCCACCATCCTGTGAATTTGGGGCTTTTTGCTGGGAGTTGGGAGCAAGGGGGCAGGAAAAGGATGTTGTGGTCGTGGAGTCTGGGCTCCTCTGGGTTTGTTTGTTTGTAAAAGCACAGGTGATGGCTCAGCAGCTCCGGCTAAAGCAGAAGCCCTGCTGCTGCTCTGAGTTGGGAATTTACAGCGTGAAGGCTGGGTCTGACTCTGAAAGCAAAAGGAAACACAGCAAAAGCTCCGGGCTTCTTCCTTTGTAGGTCACACCGAAATATTTCCAGCCATGCACAGACTCCTCCTTGCTCATGGTCTCATGGGTAGCAACAATTAGAAGCAAACCTGAAGTTGTTGAGGGATCCTGCAGCACAGCAGAGGAGCTTCAGGGATGGTTTTGTTCCCCGTTGCTTTTACAGGAGAGGCGTCCTGCAGGTGCCAGGCTGGAGGTGGAAAGGGAAAGCCGAAGGGTACGGCCATAGGGAGAAGCAGTGTGTGAAGTCTGGCTCCTCGGGAAGCACACGCTGGGTCTGTAAACCCTGCCCGACAGCTGGGATGGGTGAAGAAAACCTAAACATGACGAGGGCTAAGCTGGGAGCACTTCACCTTCTCTTGTGCTCGATGCTTTCAATGAGAGGGCTCGGGGGAGCAGAGAAGGGATGCAGACATCAGAAGCAAATGGTAAAAGTGCTCCTGTTCCAAGCCAAGGGATATTGAAACTTTCCCAAAACCTGGCTGTTTAGCCTCAAGTTCACTTCTAGTGCTCACCCCATAAGGTGCAGCCTCAGGCCAGTGGCTGCTTTTTGGGCTCAGCAAATGGTCTCTGACCACGGGACACGCGGGGCTACAGCTGCACACACCAACAGGGAGCAGAGCCCAGCTTCCAGCCGTATGGCTGACCTCTTCCCCCCAAAAAAGAGGGAGGATTTATTGCAGTCTGTAGGAACGATACCCCCAGCATCAGCTGGGAAGCCAAAACAGACCCAAGACAAGCCAGGCTGGCCACCACGGGCCACTGTGTACCTTGTATACCTGTAAATCCTGCTGGGTTTATGAGCACAAACCTGCTTTGTGGCTCCTGTAGGCTCTTATTTCTTTGAAAAGACAAGCTAGCAACTCGCAACGGGCACCGACGGGCTCCAACAACCACCTCCACGTGTACAGCTCACCGGGAAAATGAAGCTGCTCACGCCTGTGCCACTGGGTCCTTCACTGGAATAGCCAGAGCACGGAGAGAAAGCTCCGAGGAACTTCTGAACGTTTCGGAAGGCGACCATGGAGCATCATCCGCGTGGCAAATGGAACCGAAGCCGCAGGGTACGGCTTGAATCCTCTGCAGTCGTTGGCAGACACACACAGAGCCGAGCTCCTCGCCTCCTGCCAGTCCTTAAGGACCTCACAGCTTCTTCTCCAAGATCGACCTCCTTCTTTCCAAGAGCATCCTCCACCCGAGGTAGGTTTTGGCCAGCAGCACACCCAGCCTGCAGGACCCTCAGGGAACGGTTCCTCAGACCCCAAAAGCAAAGAAACCCCCCAGAACTTCTCACTTCTCAAAGATTTTATTATTTTATTTTTTTTTTCCCCCGTGGCAGCTGGCAAATCCTTTCCTTTGCTTCTCGTCCAAGTTGGACAAAATTACTGCAGAGAATCCCTCCGGCTCCCCTCCCCCTGCGCGATGCAATCCCAAGGGAGAAATGGTTTCATGGGGACCCCCTGCTGTCTTGCATCTGATTTCCCTCCTAAGTATGGTATAGGGAAGCGTCTCGAGGGCTATGGCTGTGACCTCCATACAGCTCTTTTGTCAAGTGCCATTTCATTAAAAAATCAGCCTTTTAACTGTGGACACATTTCAACCTCACCAAATCTGCTAATTATTGACAGTTGGTGAAGAGGAGATTTCACTTGTTCCTCCTGTTAAACTGCATCTAATTAGTAATTACTGGTTCACTGTCATCTTTACTGCAATAATCCCACTGCACATTGGCTCATTAACCTTTTGCTTTTCTAAAGCAGCCTGCCAACAAGATGAAGGCTAAAACAGATTGGAAAACAATAGCTCAGCCTTGGATTTTAGGCTGTTTATTCCCCTTGTCCTGGAGATCCAAAAGGAAGATTATTTTGAAGAAAAGGCTTTCAGCTGCAATCAGCCTAATTCCAGAAGATGGCTTGTTGAGCCCCAACCAGCCATCAAAGCCCTTTAAACTTAACCTCTGGTGAGGGCACGTGCATTATACACGCGGACAACCCTTCCTAGTGGAAGGGTTTCTCAGCTCTTTCCTCGTCTCCATTTCTCACCTGGCTTTATCCTTCTTTCAGCAGCGTGACCCAACACGTGGACCACGGTTTAAGGCAAGCTCCTGGGGGTCTGCAGCCCTCTGGAAGCTCAAGAGCATCCTCTCGGGGGCTGAGAAAGGAAATGATCCGGGTGAGCAGAGCCCAAAGGGAAGCAAATCGGTGGAGCAACCCCATGGTTATTTCTTTTGCTGCTACACTGAATTTCATTTGCACAAGTCCCATTTTCAGTTTGGAACTGTCACAGCTGTTTCTATTGGCAGTGCATAGCTGAGTAGGAGTTGTCAGTGGGGATGCTGGAGGATAGGCGGCTAGAAAAGAGATTCCCCGGGGGGCATGGGAGGCAGTTTGAGGTTGTGGGCTAAATGCATTAACTACACGTTTCTCCCAAACTTAACAGAAGTGAATTATTTAATGCATATTGATGTATTTGGCTACTGGAGTTAACACTATGCTGGGATGAAAAGTGTAGCTCTCGGTGTCTGAAGTGTGCTCTAGCTCAAGGACCTGTCTTTATGGTTCACACTCAGGTTTTATTTTTACAAGGTGATCTCAAAAAAAACCATAACACCTAGAAAAAAAAAGCTCTAATTCTGGAGCACCATGGCAGGCAGCACAGGGGATTCCATCTGTACAAAGTGAAGGAAGATTTGAGGTCTTGGTTAGACCTGAAAGTAAGTCTGGATGCATTATTTTTCCCAGGGCGTGACGGCTGCTCAGCTCCACAATTTTCATTTAGCTGATGCTGATGTTTCTGTATGCAAGCAGAGCTGAATTTTGATTCCTCTTCTGCTACTTTAAAGCAGGACGAAGCGAAGCAGCTACATCTGGGGTACTTGGAAGCAGAACCTGACCTGGTTGAGACCAGACATTTAACTGGGGCATCAGTGCCAAGGCATCCACGTAACCAGAACAGGACCAGGTTGGTCCAAGGTTGCTCCCCAGATGCCAGTGGCAGCAAACCCACAGGGGCTGCTGCTCCAGAAGAAGGTATTTGGCAAGAGAGGGAAGGGGCATTTAGCTGACACATGATAAAATGGCTTCACTGATATGGGACACTTATTAAATATATCCCACGGCTTCAATTCTGCTCGAAAACTAACTCTTAAGTTTGAAACATGCCCAAAAGCCCCTTTTGCAGAGAGGATCAAAAGCTCCCATGCTAAAACAAGAGCTCAATAACACATCAGCTTCTGTGTTTGCTCTCTGACTAAAGAAAAAGGACTGTGAATGTGTGATTAAGGGCAGAATTTGGCTCATTTACAATTCCTGTAAGGGTTGCTGCTCAGACCGTAATCATATTTTTGGAACAGAACACGCCTATTACATCTTGTCGTTAATAATTTACTCCCTGGGTAGAGCTCATTACAACAGCATCATCTCTGCTGTGTTATGCTCCTGGCTGCTTCACCTGCTGCAGTTATAGGGGAAAGCAAACACACACACACACATACACACGTCTACACCCTACAGAGAGTGAGAGGTCAGTGTTCAAAGACTTAACCTCGTTACCTGGTGAACTGATGGACCATTAATGAGTAGAAGCCATACACTCTGAAAAATACTCTGCAAGGAAACTCGGATTTCATTTCCAGGATTGTGGATAAATGACCCTTGAAAGATTGTTTCAGGTAAATCTCTTGCCTCACCTGAGCATCCCAAAGCTGCTGACCACTGAGGGCATCTCAATGAGACTGATGAATGGGAGCAACGCCCTCAAACACTCAATTTATAATGAATGAAGAGCCAACTGGGAGGCTGATTTGGATAAACTGGGCTGCTTTGGATAAACCTGACTCCTTGGTGTCAAGAGGTCTGAGGTCCAGCTGTGCGAGTGGAGCTCACGCCAGTTGAGCAAAGACGAGGCCCCAGTGGGTGATGAGCCTCACCACCAGCTGTAGTGGTGTCTCTTCGCTGACACGATGCGTGGGCAGGGAGCACGTCATTCTGTTTGATCTACTAATCAGCGCTGATTCATGTTTACACTGCGGATAACATTTCATCTGCTTTTAGAAGGTCATTCTCAAGCGATGCTGTATGGTTTGCAGTATTGACTGATGCCTGCAATTTGTATATCCTCTGAAGGAAGAGAGACCTTAATTTTTCTTGTGGGCTAGAATTCATTCAGCTGTTAGCATCAACACAATTTTTCAAGCAGCAATATCAGATACGACACGTTATAGAGGATCTGTCACCCACAAAGTTCAGGCTATAATAGAAAAGGTAGAAAGACCTTGAGAGCTTCACTATTAGATAAGGAAACTATGACAATGAATATTTTTAGAGCTCAACGACCTCTGAATGCCTCGGATACAGGTCCCAAAACTTTCGTTCCCACTGACCTTAGCTGGCACTTACTATTTGAAAGAATCGGGTGTTAAATGGTGCTTACAAAAATACTGAAAATGTATTAAGAATACATTTCGAAAGAGAATTGGAGGGTCAGATTCCTGTCCGTGTTGAAAGAAAGGTTTGGTTTGGCCAATACTATGAAACATGCGTCATCAGTGTATGCTTTCTCCCTTCTCAATGACTGCTGATAAAGGTTAGAGATGACACAAAGACTGAGGAAGTGGTAAATAAGCAAGAGCCCAAGATCCAGAGGCCTTTAGCTCACATGGCCATCTGTGCAGAGGAAGTCAACGTGCGTTGTACTACGGTCAGTAACGGAGCTGCCTCTGGAAGCAACGAATGGATGGGACATCATTTTGGGGGAACGGTGTCAATGCTGCCTTTGGGGTAAAAGACACGTTGCTCAAACAGGTGCTAGGCCTGGAAATACGTCTCAATATTTCATAACCAAAACCTCTGAGCAGAACTTGGGATCCTGGCAAATAACTGATGGACGAGGAGCCGTGGTTGAGGTCATGCCAAAACGACCAATGTGCTCTGTGGATATGTGAACCCAAGCAGAAGCAGGCAAATCACACTGCTCCTGTAACTGGAACTTAATGCAATTCCTTACTGGAATACCACGTCTGGTTCTCGTGGAAATGCTCCAAATAGGATGTTGACTAATTAGAAAAAGTTTAAGAAAGAGCCACACGAATCATTAAAGCAGCAGAAAACATGTCTTTTAGCAAGAGACTCCAAGATTCAGACACACTCTGTTTCTAACACGGAAAATTAAAGGACAGTTTTATCTCAGTCTGTAAACAGCTAGAAGAACAACAGAAAATTGGTAACGTTTTTCAGTCTTGCAGACAAGTGTACAACAAGATTCCCTGGCTAGAAGTTGTGGATAAACCCATCCAGACAAAAAAAAAGGGAAATAACTAGTAGAGACTGTGATAGAGACTGTGATCCCTGATTAAGCATTCTACATGAAACAAAAAGAACTTTAGGAAAGTCCTTTGCTTGGTTTGACAGAGGTTTTACCCCTTTGTAAGTGACCCTATCAGTAAATCTACAATTTTATAATCTGCAAATCTACAAGCTCCAAACACTGAAGAGTCAAAATTAGTGACTCACCAAAAAATACACCTTCACAGTTTGCTCAACCGATTTAGGTACAAGTGATTTCATTTCATTAGCCCTTCTGCCCGTTTCCTTGGCGTAGTTTTCCTCTGATGGCTTCCCTTTCAAAACTCCCATCCTACCTGCTCCTCTTGCATTTTCCTGCCCACGAGATGCAGTACCCACCCAGGGAAGTGCTTTGGATTTTTTCCCCTGAAAACCACCCAGGCTCAGAGTAAATATTACTCCAAAATGCCAAGAATGCAGTGGAGGCTGCAACGTGGGGAGAAGCCTTGCCCCTGAGGTTGTGTCTTCCTGCAGCCAGTCTAGAAGACAAGCAGCCAGGAATCCCTGAAGAAGCTTTGGGAAAGTGCATCCACATCAAATCTGTGTCCCAGCGATGGCTCTGCGTAATGGGATATACTTGGAACCATTGGAAGAGGAACCAAACACCCACAGTGATGCCCGAGGTGCACCTCAGACACCAAGCATGCAGAAAATTAGCCTCGTACGCTCCCCAAAATGCTCCAGCCTGCTTGCCCCACTGCTCCCTGGTGCTTGGATCGCTTTGCAGTCCAAACATCTCCCTACAGGAGAAGCAGATCACCGTGGAGGGGTACAACAGATGGAAAGGAGGAGCACACATTGTACCCCTTTGTCTGCAGGGACCAGACAGGTACTGACCTCGGACATCTGCGGGAAGAGGCTGATGGCCAAGGGGAGGGCCAGGCCGAAGGCCGCGAGGCACACAAGGCTTTGCACGGGGAGAATCATCCGGGGACGGGACCTCAGGAGGGACGTCCTGCAAAGGAAAAGCTCTGTTAGACCATTTCATGGACCAGACCCACCAGCTGCCCCCACAACTGGTGCAGGTTCCTCCTCATGGGTCATCCCAGCTGAGGAGAAGACCTTCACCCATACAGATCCCGAGTCCTGCACCGAGCTTCTGCCCCTGCTGGGGTTACACAGCCACTTAAATTCTTACTTTCCCATATTAAATAGGACCACTTCCCCGTTTCAAACCACATCACACGTGAGTCAACTGCACACGGGGTGATCCGGCCGCACGCAGGTGCTGCTTGCTTCAAGGAAAGCAGAAGGAAATCAGAAGGAAATCAGGCTCCTGAGAGACATCGGGAACTTTGTCAGCTTCAGACAAAAAGGCTTCGTTAATAGGGTAATGGAGTAGCAAACTTGATAACGCCTTAATCTGTTCAACATGAAACTTTTGAGGGGGTGATAAGGATGCTTTAACACCGGCTGTCCCCAGGGGATGTGTCTGAGCTCAAACCTTGTTAACAGCAAACTCGTGAAGCTACCCGCAAGGTCAGGTTCTGATAATGACCCATTAAGTGACCCTTCCGAGGCAATTAACACCGAATGACAGCATCTTGCTAATAGAAGATGGCATTTTAAGTATATTCCAGGACACAGGACCGCAGACAGCTTACAAACGTTAGGGGGTAAAACGTAATTATTGAGGGGTTTGGTCGGAAGCTCTCTGCACCAAAACGACACCCGTCATTAACTTTTTTTCTACCAATCCATGGAAATGGGAAATAAGACAAGTAAATGGTGAGTTCTGCTTGAGTATTCAGTGGATATTAAGAATGGAGAGGGGCAGCCAGATTTGCCAATAGGTCATCAGCTATGGCCTTAGTCCCTTGGTCCCAGTGTCCCTACATCCTCTGACCATCCCTGAGGATGCTGATGCCTCAGGGCCACCAAACGTGGGCAGAAATCTGCTAGTTAACACCCTTCCACTGGGATGAGAAGACAAAATCAAAGCAAACAGCCCTTCCCACATCAGGACATGCTGCTAGGCTGGGATCCGGGCTGTCTGGCACACACACACGCACAAACATTACCTTGCAGGTGCATCTCGCTGTGCAGCCTGTGCCTGCAGCCCATGCAGGATACCAGATTCCTGCAGGCACGCACCTGACGAATTCTAACGGAGCAGCTGATGTGTGGGAACTTGTTACCCTGCCGTAGGTTGTCTGTGTGTGTCTGAACACTCAGACTCCGTGCCCTTTGCTAGCAACACTTGCTGAAAGCTGTCTTCGTCGTAAAAGGGCTTGGGGAAAAATGGGGAAGGAAAACAAGATCTGATGGAACTCCTCCAATGTCTCAACTGCTCCCTAATAAGCTAATGAGACAATCAATCCTATTGATTTGTGAAAGCCAGGCTTCTCTTCTCCAGTAGTTGGCTACTTTGCTTTGAATAGAGCATGATCTAAACCAAAAGCCTCCTGCTGAAGTCCACAAGTGTTCGTGTGAGCCGGGGAGGTACCCGCTCCCCACCTTGCTCCATGCTCTACCTGCATTCACCAGTTCTGTAAATGAGACATTTTGGGAATTGGCAGCAATAAGTTGTGATAACGAGTCCCTGGGACGCAGACGGACAACTGCTGGACACGATTTGTTCTTCTGCTAAAGCTGCCGTGATCCAAGAGAGAAAATCCTAAAACCAGCCTCCTCCAAGCCTCCCCGGAGAGCAGTTTCGAAGCAAGACATCACCGCTTGTGCCACCCTGACACCTCGGTTTGGAAGCTGCACCCTCTTTAATTACTGCCCTGTTGGGGACCTTATAATCACCCAAGTAAAACTCAACCAATTTAAAGTGATCCCCGGCACAGCCCCCAGGTGTGATTTCCAAAAGTGCTTCAGACCCAGGCCAGTTCAAATTACAATGGCCGACCTCCTAATTAAGACGAGTTATGGCTTGATGTAAAAAGGAGAGGGGACTAATTAACACATGTAGTGTAATGTCTTAATTGGGATTCGGATTCTAAAATTTGCGTAGTTCGGAATAAATGACTCATAATTAGTTGGGAGGTCACTTTTCTTCCGTCCCTAGGATCGTTGCTCTCGACACAGATCTCAGGAGGATACTCAGCTAAATTATTGCTTGCTGCGTTTTGGTAGCTGCCAAACGCAATCAGAGCCCCCTCTTTTCAACCATCCCCCCAAGAAGTGATTGATGTTTCTCGATGGTTTCATTGCAGAGTATTATAGCAGATTAAAGATCAATAAAATTAATACTCATTTGTTCAGGGAATTATTTTACAGCATTGTCCTGTGTGCTCTGCCTAGACCATGAAACTCCAGACCTTTAGATCCTCCTGACAGCCCACTTTTGCCCCAGGCATCTCCTTTATCACACTGCTATAATCACAAGAGTGAATATTACATATATTTACAAGAATTAATATTGTTTTCATGGTGCAAAAGCACACGAAGCTGTTCTTGGACAAGACCAGCAGCTTTACGTGCTGCCCTGTACGCGGGACGGGGTTGCCAAGGCTCTGCTGAACCAAACCTTGGCACTCGGATGAAACACCAAGAGCCTGAAAGTCTGCACCAAGAGAAGGTGTCAGGTTGGAAATCTGCAGAGACACAGTAATAGGATCTATTGTTCCTGCTTTAGAAGCCGATTTGTTTATGCACTTGCCTTTGGATGAAAACAGGAGGTCTATTTTTGTGATAACTTCCCTCCACGCCTCTCTCTTCTCCTTTTTTTAAAAAGATTTGCTTCTTTAACCCCCTTCCGAGCCCCCAAACGCTTCTTCTTTCTGCAATTTCCTTCTCGAAAATTTGCCTGGTGGACTGAAAAAAGGCAGCAACGTACCGGGGAGCTTCTGGCTCACTGATCCCAGGTAGCACTCAGTGTGCACGGAGGTACCCAAACCAGCGAGCCCTCACGGGTGGCTTCAATATGCATGAGCGTGCGTGTACGTAGGTACAGCCCCAGACACACGCATGCTTGTACAGACAGTACATCTGCTCCGCAGAGACAGCGTGTTGTAGCTCTTGTAAATACACCTTCATTCAACTTTCATCACATTGTTCATTAGTGGTTTAAATTTTGCATAATTTGGCAGCTGCCTCTGGCGTTTTTCAAGAGGTACTGTAATTTATTCCATATGGAAGTCAGTCGCTGTACTAAAAAGGAGTTATCGGGTTCAGTGAACCAGAGCTGTATTTGTCTAGAAGGAGGTGTCAGATGCTAAACTAAATATGACAGGAGTTAACCAAAGTCTCCCAGCTGACAGATTCTGTGGGGTTGCTGTAGTGTTTGGTATAAACAGGTTCAGAGCTAATGCATACACTGCAAGACGCCCAGGATGCCGGCGGGGTAAGAAAAGCACAGGAGGCTGAGGCTCTGGGTATCCCGAAGCATCCGAGGCTCAGTGACCCATCTGACACCCCACAAAATTTGGGGGGACTGTCCCAGCCCAGGCGGTGCACCCCAAATCCCCGCTGTGCTCAGAACCTGCCGGAGCCAGCACCGTGCCACGTCGTGCTTCGGAGAGACCTTTGCTGCTCTCTGCAGAGGGTGTTTGAGCTTTTCTCACTCGTTTGGGGTCATTTCAGGAAAATAGGGCTCCTCTAACAACCCAGGGCTCTGCCTGCCACTCCGGGCCACCAGGGCTTTGTACCACGCTCAAGAGCATCTCCTGCTCCAGCTGGGGACTCGGAGCCTGCTCCAGGGGACACAGCAGATGCAAAGGGAGAGATGTTGGGGGATTTTTTATTTTTTTTTTTTCTTGATTGACATAATTAAAGGAGCAGTTTCAATGTTTACTTTGGAAACAGCCACGGCGGTTTAAGGTGTCACTGCTGGCAGCTGTTTGGTTCAAACAAACTTCACCGAGGGTTTAGCTGGATGCAGAGACTTTGCACTCGAAAGAGGAAGAAGAGCACCTGTAGGAAACCTTCTGCACGCAGATCTAAAGGGTGAGATCTCCAGCAAAAGGCCATGAGCACAAGGGTCCAGAGGACCTCCTACTTCACCCTCATTTCTGCAGTGAAAAACGTGATTTAAGGCTAAGAAAGCCAGCACCATTCGAGCCATGGTCCAAGCACCAAGTATCCCTGAAGACAATCCATTCTTCCCACTTTAGTCTGGCTTAGCTATGCCTGAGCAGCTCTGCAAGTTGATCCAGCCTGGGAACAGGCCCTAATTTGATGAGATTTAGAGGAAAAGAGCCCTGACAGCTGCCGTGTGAGGATGCTGTGGTGCTAGCAGCTCTGCAAGCCTCAAGATCAGGGTGATGTGGTGGTGAAGGAGGTGTAGAAGAGTTCCTCTTTCAGGGACACATCTCTTCTGCCCATTCCCAACAGCTCCAGCTTTACCTCACCCTATAAGCTCTGTGCAGCAGCTCGGGGGAGTTCTCTTGCCTAGCCTGACATAGGTGAGCTCCTGGAGGCCATCCTCAGGCCATCTTCTGTGCTTCAGACCCTTTGAGGCTGCCTGTACTGAGAGGTAGAGGAGAGGCTTTAGGATAAAGAGACAAGGAAGAGAAGCACTCACGTTCTTCTATCTCCCCTTCAAAGTGTCCGTGGCAGATGTTGCTGGTGGGCTGAGCTGTGGTCTGTTTGTCCATCCCTTGTCCTGAGCACGTGAACCAAATTGCACCAAATTTCAGTTTTCCTACCATGGAGCTCAGGGGAACCCGAGGCTGGATGTGCACGGATCTGGATGCTCTACACACTGATAGTCTGCATGGTGGGCTCCAGTCCTTCAAGGAGTCAGAAGCCTGACAAAGACTACAGGAGAAGCCTTGGATGATGGCCCCGTTACCGGTCCTTTCTGGGAGAAACCCGTGCAGGTTCTCAAATCCCATCACATAAAAGGATCCACAGAAGCGTACGAATAAAGGAAAACGTTTGAAGTGCAAGGAATCCACCTTAACGCAGGAGATGCAGTTGTCCCCACATCTCTGTGACACGGGGGCACTAACAAACTTTTCCTTTCTGATCTGAAGTCAGCCGACCTGAGATCCCACAGATGACTCCTCTCCATCTCACTGCCAACGTGAAACCACTACTTCTCCCTATTAAAGTTGCCAGCACAGCTATTATTTATAAAACTTCGACGAGAATACATCTGCACGAAATAACTGACACCGTGTTCCCCGCGTGGCATATGCAGTCTCAAAATAAACATCGATTCTATATGTTAGCTGCCTCAACAGAGCGTCCAAGCAGCAGGAAATGCATGAAACATGGGGAAAGAATGGAGCGCTGCGGCGCTCGGCAGTGGGAGGTAACATTGAATTACTTGGAGAGCAGAGAAGGCGGCCCCGGGAGTTAAAATACACAGCAGGCAAAGAGATGAGAGAAGCCAAGAGAGCTGAAAAAAATGGCACAAGAGACGAGAGAGGCAGCTGGGGGAGTTAAAACATGCAGATGGAGAGATGGCTGAGAGAGAGGAAAGACCTGGATCCAAGTGGAAAGACGACGACCAGGAACTGGCCACTTAAAATAAACTTTCTGAACGCCGAGACAAAAAGGAGGGAGCAGCTTTGGATTCAAAACCTGCTGCTGGGAGAAGGTGGCTTGCTCCTGGGGTGCTGCGAGACCCCCAGGCAGCTGCAGCACGGTCACTGCTGTCGTTCCCATCCATGGGCACCGCAAGGACTTCTGTAAATAAACTGATGATAAGCCTGGACGTGACCCCCAATAAAAAGTCTAACTGAAGTTTTACTACATTAAAAAAGTTAAACTTTTCACCAAATGCTCCATTTTTTTTTTCCAACATGAGGTTTCACCTCTGACTTCATTTAAAAGATCTTAGAGTCAACACCTGGGCTGCAAACCCCTTGGAAAGGGATGCCTTCCGTGCCAGGTGGATGCTTTCACACCCCACAACCTCTGCGTGGCCAATCTACACCCCAAAACCTCTCCCTGTTGTTTCTCACTCACACTTCCAGGAATCCAAATTCAAAGACAAATCCAAATTCCAAAGACATATAAAGGGAAATAAAACCGTAGCCACAAAGCTCTGCGTAGAATTTAGGCAAAAATCAGTGCCTACACATCTTATATCATTCAGGGACGGTGAGGAGGAAGCCATCCTCTTGCACACCTGGATGAAATCCATCAGATAAAACGATGACTTTTGGTAGAGAACCTCGTCTAGATCCACATTTTAGCTTGAGAGATAATCTCAGTTTCAGTAAGTCTTGCCCAAAGCACAGGTGCCTTTGGTAACCCACGCGGTGTCAGTGCAGGAGGTGATGATGCCTAAGAGCAAAGCAAGTCCTGCTCTTAGTTTTATTTAAGGTTGTGGTCCGTGATGGTCCTTGATGTCTCCTGTTGGAGATGATCATTCTTTGACCGGGTTTCTATGAATTTTTGAGGCTTTGCGCATAAAGATTTTTGTCTGCAGGAAAGGCTGCAGCACGGATGCAGCTTGTGTTAAGGAGGAGGATGAAGAGGAAATCAAATGCTCTGCACAAAATCAGCAGGGCTGGAATCTGCACCCAGTCCCTGAGGGTCTCCAGCTACAAGACTGTGCCCTGCTGCAGGGAGCCACCACGGTCCCTTGGGAAAAAGAGGAAAAAAGAGGAAAAAAAAACAGAATGTGTTGGCCAGGAAGGGCTGAAAACTCACTTCAGAGTTTCCAAAACAGAGTTTGTTGCTGTCTTTCTCCCCACACCCAGGTCATGGGAAGGAGTGATCCTGGTGTGAGCCTCTGAGTGCTGCAGGGGTGCAGACAATAAAAATCTTTTAAAAATCTGGGTGCTAAAAATCAAACTCAGGATTTACAGAAGCGGCCCCAGCCTTCCGTTAAGGAGAGAAAATTGCCCAGGGGTGTTTCTACAAGGGCACGCAGGGCTAACCAAAGCGATGGGTCAATCCCTAATCGTGCTAATTGCTATTTACTTTGTCAGTGGAGTGCTTTCGAGCAGCCATTATCAACAAATTTGTTTAAAGAGTGCTTCCAGCTTGGCTGTCGGGGACAAAGGCAGCAAGCCCTTTAGCACCCCCATCTTTCAATGAACTAATCAGTCTCCAAACCAAGGCAAGGTGATCCCCACCCCAGCACGGGCCATGAGCCTCCATGGGATGGGATGGGATGGGATGGGCAGATCCTAAAGAGGAGCCCCAAAGGCCAAAACAGCTGGGCTCCGAATATCTCTGAGAAGCTTTAAAAGTGGAGTTTTTTGGGGCTTTTTGTTAGTAAGAAACGTGAGAGGAGATGGTTAGGTTTGAAGCACCTTTCCTCTGACCCCACGTGGCAGCCCCAGTGTTTGCTGCACGCAGGACCGAGAGCTTCTGAACCCTTTCCCACTGAATTCAGAGAGTTTGGGCTCGTGCTGACCCACACAACACAGTTATGCAAACTGCTGGAGGCTCAGAAAGATGATTTAAAATAACCACATCAATGTAACACTTTACCAGCCTACAATGGCCAAAAATGCTGGAACATGAACAGTTGAATAAGCCCAAAAATGTCTGTGATGAACAAATTCTAAGAAATATCATATTATAATCCTTGCTGAGGATCTTTTCTCCCTTCCCCTTGAAAAATCCCCCCCTTTGGAGTACCCACCACTTACTTTTCCAGTATGGACATAATAATTGGAGGTAGAACCAGTATAGGCATCGGCAGGACCACTCTTGTCAGGGCCGTTTCTAGCAGTGCCTGGGAAGGAAAAACAAACAAACAGACCCAAGACATTTAAAACCAATCCCATTTTCTTGTTCTGTGTACGTGAACAAATGTATCAACACCCATCTTCAACTCTGCTGGCAGCTCTGTACAGAGCTGATTTTTGCTCTGTTGCTACGAATGATGGGTGGTTGTAAATCCAGTGGAAGAAACAGAGAGATGAATGCAGGGAGTAGGGCCGTGCACCTAATAGCTTCTCTGATGTTACTTTATGGGACCAAAAATACTCAGCCACCTCGTGGTATTCCCACACCTTGGTGCTGCCTGGCAGATGCTGCAAGGAGAAATAGCTCAGGTTAAGCAGCAGCCTCAATCTTTTCTCCTTTAAATGAGTTTCAATTTCAATGTAGTACCTAATTGTTCGATCCGAGACTAGTTTCTCTACCTTAACCTGCAGTGGTTTACTGAAAAGCACTGTAACAAGCTGGGCTCCCTTTTGCAGGAGGATGCCCAACCGCAGAGCTATCGTCGTCCCTCTCTGGGTGCTTTCTGCCTGGCAAGATCCACCAGGAAGCACCAAACTGAACAGCTTGGCAGCGTGACACTTATAAACCACCTAAACATCATCATCAGGGCTCTAGAAAGAGCATAAACATCACTGTGCCTCCTTCTCTTACCTCTTCCAACCACTTTTGGCATCCCCTTGGGATGCCCCAAGCATTGCGCCCATGCGTGGGGCTTTGCCAGGCTTGGGCAGAGGTTATCACAGGTTTGGGATGGGAATGCTGAAATGTACACATCCGACCAGGCTTGGGAGCACCCAATCCTTCCAAAGCAGGAGGAGGTTTTGGAGAGGCACAGACATAACGCCAAGGATCTGCCAAATTTTACACTACAGAACCCAGCGCTGTGCGACTCAGGAAGATGCGTCAGGACAAGATGACATCTGAGCAAAAGTCCTCACAAATCTGATGCCTGAACTCCACTTAACTCAGTCCCTTCAGTTTTAATCCTTCTGTTCCGTGTTGTCTGTCTTCCCCTGGACCATTAGGATGGAGAGGGGAAGCGGGGTCTCGAAGCCAGCGATGTTAAGTGAGGAAAACTGGCTCCAACAAGCATCTCTGAGCCCTTCAACAGATTGTTTTAAGCTCCCTGTTAAACATCAATATGGAGAAATATTAGAGATCTCCCATTTCTCGCTGAAGACTGTAAATCTGTACATTAATTGCTGTCTATGAAGTGCCTTAAGAGCCTTGGACAGAAGGAGGGAGAGAAATGCCAAGCATTATATTATTAACTCCTCTGCCTGGGCGTGTGCTTCTGTACATGCTTTACATTTCAGATGAAAGCCCACTTGGAAACAACACGCCTCAGACAATCAGATGATGCTCAGAAGACAAAACTATGCAAGGAGGGAAGAAAAGGGAATAATTGCAAGCAGATGGCGGAGCCTAGAAGGTTACGGGGGAAAACAAACCAGGTGTGAGCACGAGGATGCAAACATCTGGCTACCCTCACAGAGCTCGGGTTGGCAGTCGGTAAGGCAGCTTCACCATGGCAAGGGTTAAACAGCTCCTCGGCTCGCAAATGAAGTCTTCCTCATTTAGAAAAAGGTGTAAGTTATTCAACATGAACGGCTTACAAGTTTCCACAACGAAATCCGAAGGCTGTGAATGCAGCGGGGTGGCAGAGGATCCTCCTGATGTCAGCCTGCTCCCTCTCGACGCACGGCACCAGCCATGGGCTGTGCCATGCTCGTGCCCACCAGCTCCGTGGCCACCCTGCTGCACGTGTGGCTACAAAGAGGCACTAAATTCTGCTGCTTAATTCTTTGTGCATGATAAACACAGCTCACCTACTTCCAGCTCTTTCAAGCCATCAGTTCCTACAGCTGTGGGAGCTCGTGTAAGTGCTCCCCAGGTGCACCCCAGGTACCTACGTGTTTTGCAGCGATTCTGGAAGACCCAACGATGTTCCCGTTGCTGTCCAGGACATCAATTCCTTCCTCCAGCTCCGTGTGCCTCATCAGGACGACGTTGCAGATATTGGCACTAGCTGAGGATGAGAAAAAGCATGCTGATTAGCAGTGCAGCCCCGGTCAATACCAAATGGCAAGCTTCTGTTCTCCACCACATCCCTTCAAGCTTTGATTTCAGCCGTCTGCCAAGAAGTTTCTTAAAGTCAAGGACTCACTCTGGTACTGAGAGTGAAATGTGGTTCTGAAGCGTGAATAATCATCATCTCCTTTGATTTGCCACGATCGGAAACACGCTGACACAAAGAAATAGCAGCATTTCTCCACCTGATTTCTCCACCTGATGGCCAAACCAGGTCCGTGGGCAAACAAAGTGGGGAAACTCTTCGGAAATAATGAATTTCAGCAGGTGTGATGGAAATAAATGGCACTGAGCTACGAAGGACAGCTTAGGTCTGAGCTCTGAGGAGGGCAGAAGTTTTCTTTGAATCAAAAGAGACAAGGTTGGGTTGCTTTTAGGGATACGTGCCCTGTTAAGAGCAGTTCTGCTGCCTATCTGCCCTCATTTTCTATTTTTTGGGGGAAAGTGGCTCTGTGGACTTACTCCAGAGCTGGAGCCGTGGTTGTTTGCTTAATAAAACCTTTCCTAACAGGGACAAAAGCCCCGTGTGGGCTGCCCGAGCTCACTTCAGCTGCTGTAACTCCACGTGGCGAGGGCAGCCCAAACCCAAACCTCGTGATGCTCCCAGGGGGGCTCTGGCTGAGTCCCCCTGCAGCATCCCCGATTCCCCCAGCCCCGCTGCCTGCCGTGGACGGGCTCTGAGAACCCCCAATGGGCACTTCAGGGCTGATGCAGTGCAGTCACCTGGCAAAAAAAGGGGATAATTCCCCTTTGGGAGGGGAGGAAGGGCATCGCTGCCTCTTTTGGAGCCATCGAGCTGGCTGCTGAGAAATCACAACCCCGCACCTGTGGCTCAGATGGGACAGATCTGGTTCCCTTCCCCTAAAATCTCCCTTTTCCCAGCTTTTTGCACCGCTGCCTTCTCAGAATCACCCCAAATCCTGCTCCTAGAGCTCCGTGTGGGGCTTGTGCTTCACAAACATCCTCCCCAGGAGCTGCTCTCCTCCAGGAGGTCTCCAAGTCCCTGCAGAAAATTCTTAAAATTTTCCGAAGAGGAGCTGCTCCTTCCTGCAAAACTTTTCTTTCTGATAAAAACTGGCATTTTCCAGCAACCCCCCCCCCCTTCCCCAACACGTTTTGTTTTTTCCACCCAGAACTACTGCAAGCCCACTGTTGCTGCGGTACCGCTGCTTCCAAAAATGTGCTTCTGTGCTGCTTGACGGGTTAATATTCGCTAATTAATCTCAATTCATGTCATATAACAAATGTCTAATTTTTTTTGCGGGTGGTGGGTGGGTGAGCCCTATATGAACGCAGCTCCCTGCAATCAAGGATGATTTGTGGTGACAAATGCTCCTTACACTCCAGAATAAGAGGAACATACACACACGCACACTCTGTCTCTCTCTTTAATATTCTAACTACTGGACCACTCTTCCCATCTATCAAACTCCCTGTGATAAAAAAACAAAACAAGCATTTCATTAAAGTTTAGTCCCATTTTTTTTCTTTTTTTTTTTTTTTTTAAATACTGCCATGCCCTGGACTTGTAGCTGGCAGCCAAACCGTGCCAGCAGCGATGCTCTGTGCCACGCAGACTGTGAGGTTCGGGGTGATGTTTCAGACCCAAACCTCATCAGACACCAAAATGTGTCTCTGAATCTTTATATCTAGGGCTTCGTTGTCCGCATCCCAAACTCCAGACCCGATTCCAGCATGTTTGTTTGAGACAAGCCCTGGTTTGTTTCAGTAACTCACACACGGAAAGCAGAAATCCTGCTGCAGGTCAACTTCACACAAATGCACAAATACACGTGTAGACAATTTGATTTTCAGAATTTGGAAAAAAAATGGTAAAAGCATAGAAACTACTCTTGGGAAAGCACTTACTTGAAACTGGATTTGGGTACAAAGCAATCCACTGCTGAACTCTCTCTGTACGGATGTCTAACCCAGGGGGCTCAGACATGCCCATGTGCACAGCCTCAGCAACACATTTCACAAATTTAACCCCATTTAAAACAGAACAAAAATAAAAAATAACCGAACCACGGAAATGTTTCCCAGGAGAAGAAAACCATCCTCCTCCTCACCTCCCTTCCCTCCAAGGGGCATCGTTCCACCAGCTGTAACCTCCTCTGGAGCAGACCTGGGAAGCAACTTTGGGGGTTTTGGGTACCTTTGGGGGGTTTTGGAGCCTGAAAAAAGGTTCCAGCTCCTGCTTGCTCAGCCCTGGGAGCAGCCAGGCTCCAGAACACACCACCACAATGCTCCTTCCTGGTGAAATTCCTCCAGATTTGCCCTCCCTGCCCCAAAAAAAACCCTCCTGGTGAAGAGATGATGTGCTGGGGTGGCCGACAGCGAGCGCGAAGCCTTTTGTGCCAACCCTTTTGTGCCAACCCAGCTGCACACACGGAGCTTTGGCCACCTCCACGGGCTGCCCCATGTGCAGGTTTGTTAAATATATACTGGAAGCAGCATTTCTGTTCTGTTTTCTGGGTGAAAACAACAGTTTCAGGGCCCCCAGGAGATGGACACGCTGCCAAGAGCATCTCAGCCGGGGTCGGTGGGATGGGGAGAGAGGGGAAGGAAGATGCACGGGGAATCTGCTCGATGCTGTGCACGGTGATGGAGCAAGAGGCTAGCACCAGCTCCTGGCTTTTCGCGTAGAAAATGTTAAATCCTGCCCTTCTGCTGAGGGCTGGCAGCTCAGAAGCAAGGGGAAGGCACGTCTTAATTAAACAGTTTGTCCAGGTCTGCAAAGCAGCGCCTTGCAGCTTTCAGAGCCACAAAACAGCAATTAGGAGGAGGATTCCTGATGTCCTGGCACATAATGAAGCATGACAGTACACAAATAAAAGAAGAATTAATTACGGGCTAAACAAATTAATTACAGGCCCTCAATCAACGCTGACAAAGGCGTAACCTCCTGCTCCCGACACCTTGGGACACAAACAGAAGAGCTCGGAGGTGAAGGCTTCCCGTGTGCATCTCTGCCTCCAACCCAGCCCCTGAGCAGCCTCTCGGGGCTGGTGCTCACCTCCAGTGCCCTCCTGGCTCCAAAAAGCAAAAGGAAGCTGAAAAGCTCTGAAAATAGGCTCCGGGGAAGCAACAGCAACATCCCCAGATGCCCTGTGTTAAAGCTGAACACTCAGAAATGCGACTGAGACCCTAATCCCCGTTGTCCCTGCTCTGCACGAAGGGGAAGCAGCTGGTTTTCTGGCAGGAAAAGAGGAAAAAAAGCCCCAATAACCCGGGAACTGCAGGCAGGAGGGGCAGAGCAACAGGCTCTGTGCAAAAAAAAAAAAAAAAAGGAGCAGAAGGACCAGAGGAGGCGACTCGGTCACGCTTGGAAGAAGCTCTGAGAACTTGGACTGCAAAGGGAAAAGCTCGAAGGGAAGTTTGGGATCAAGGAGTCTGAGAAGGGACCTGCAGCCGGGAGCAAAACCCTTGGGCAACTGGTTTCCTCCGTGCTTGGACAAAAATGTGTTTGCACTGTCTTTTTATATATAAAAAAAGATATAAAATATATATTAAAATATATCTATATAAAAATATAGAGAGATATGTAGATATAGATGTAAAATAACCCCGACACCGCTGAAGATTTCTTCCCAACGAAACCAACTCACAATTTGCTGAATTTAGCAAATTTAGCACTGGATTTAGCAAAGCCCGAGTCCCCCACGTGTCCCCAGACACTGGCAGTCCCCTGACAAACCACAGACCATAATTTTGTGCCCTAACAAGCCCGCAGCAGCCCGAATTCTCCACGCACATCGGTCTTTTTTGTTTAAATCAGTGGCTCTTAGAAATCCGTGCATTCAGAGCAGGAGCATTTCACTCCATTTCTATGGGAAAAATAATAAAAAAAAAAAACTCGTGGTGGTTATTTCAGCTGCCTGGAAGAGGAAAGTGCAGCCGGATGGGGCTTTGCAAGCTGCCACACCACCTCTGGGCTGAGTTTTCCTGTGGCTCAGCAGCATCGCAGCCATCCCAAAAAGGGCACAGCGGAGAGGCAGGAGCCCGGGACACGTTTTGGTGCTTTGTGCTGGCGTAGGGCGAGGTGAATACAGAAAAAAGGCAGCGTTTCTTACCGACAGCAGGGAATGGCACAAACCTCTGGATCAAGAGACGCGTGGCGGGGGTAAACTTGTTCGCTCTCTGCACCAGAACATTAAGGCCAACCTTAGAAGAGAAAAAAAACCAACAGAGAAAGGGCAACATTTAGCCAACAGGATTGGGAAAGAAGCCACAGCTTGCAGACAACACAAGCACCCTTCGCAGAGACACTTTGGGGTCTCTCTCCATGCTCCTTTTGAGGACTAAATCCCTTTTGCTGCGTTGGGCTCAACCCTTGAGGAAATTTAAGCCATTTCCAGCCCAAAATCAGGCTACAAACCCCTGCGACGCCCTTAGGGGAATGCCCCTCGCTGCGTTTTTACCCTTTCCAGCAGTGTTTTCCCAGCTGCTCCTTGCTGGTTTTCCCTCCTAGCACAAAATCGCTGGGGCTGGGGGGTCCTAACCCCCAAAAAACGCACATCCCTGGTGGTGGTTGCCCCAACACAACTCATCCCTCTTTGTAGGGCCATGAAAAACCCCCGCACCTCCCTCCAACGCGAGCATTTGGGCCAGAACGGAGCTCTGAAGAGGCAAGAGATGGGAGGCAGCTCATTGTAACCGCAGATCTTTTTTTTGTTGCCTCCTCCAGCGCTTGAATAATGCAGATTTCTACGGTTTTGCGGGGATCCAAGGCACGGCAGACGTGCTGCAGGCAGCGCGGAGGAGACTCCCTGCCTTCGCAGCCCTGCCGTCGGGCATCGGCGATAATTGGAGAACCTCCACCAGCGTTTGTTTCCAGCAGAAACGGGGTGATTAATTAACCCAGCCCCAGAAACGGGGTCATTAACTAAACCGACCTATTCGCAAGGAACCTACTCCGCCTTCCGATCACTCAATATTTCTTCTTTCCCAGCCGAAAAAACAAAAACGAAACCCAACGGCCCCCGAGTGGGGGAATTTTCGGCCGAAAATGGAAGTCGCTCGCAGTGCCTGGCCAAAACGTTTTCAGCCAAAAAATGCAGCAAAACTCAAAAAAAAAAAAAAAATCAGCCAAAGCCAAAAACCTGCCAGCAAATAGTGATTTGGGGGCTTTTTTTAAAAAAAAAAAAAGCCAAGCATGGGAGAACATATTTTGCAAGCTGCTACATTATACATGCATCCGCAGCGCATCTCGTCTCTTTGTAGGCTGCGAGGAAGATGTGGAGAAGCACAACTGCTGGGCAAGCCCTGCATAAGCACATTTCTGGTTTTCAACACCCATGGAGCATTTCCAGAACCTCCACCAAGACCCCAAAGGGATCCTTTCCTCCTGTCCTCGGCCACGTTGGCTGATCCCAAGAGAGGAGCATCCCCGCGGTGTTTCTGCTTATTCCCGGCACGAATAAGGGTTTTGTCTCCTTCTTCTTCCCACTCAAAACTGACCAAATGCTATTTTCTTACATTTTCCCGAGTACTGGGATTTGCAGAATCTGAACGCTTCCAGACAGCAGCCCAAAAAACGTGCCTGGAAAAGCAAAGCTACAACAGTTCTCAGCTGGCGTCGCCGGTGCTGCCCCGTGGATTTGGGTATTTATAGCCCGGAGACAGCTAATCTGTGTGGATCCCAAATTTCCTTGGGTTTCCAGCCTCTGGAAACTACATTTAGGAGTGATAAGGTTTTGTTTTTAACAGTTTTATAATGATTTTGGCCAACTGTGGTCTCCTTCCTGCAGGTCACCAAGGGGATGGCAGCACCCCCAGGACAGCGCCCAGCCACGGGCAGGTGACCCCCAAATCCCAGCCCTCCACCAGCAACAGGGGGCTTTAATTCCTAGGGGCTGGCCCAAGAACATCGACTACGGAGTCAAATTCATCCCGGGAGCTGAGAAAAACAGCCGCGGGAGGATTATTATCACCAGGCTGCCTACAGCCTGAGTCACAGCTCCGGGAGCCACCGCGCTGGCGCTGCGCAGACACGTCGCGGCGTCAGGTGGGATTCAGCAGAGCAGCCGTGGTGCCTCCAGATGGGCTCCCTTTGCAGCCCAGCCCATGGAAATGTGCCTTTTTCGGGGTGTTTATTCCCCTCCCAAGATAGATATTGACGTGAGCTCAAATTAAACCCCCCCCAGCGGTGCCCATTCAGCTCTGCTGCCCGTGGCAGGAGCCCAGGGGCTGAGCTCGGATGAAGATCTCCACGCTGGCGATGTCTAATTTCTGGCAAGATGATGCGTTTTTAAATCACAATTTCAGTGCAGAACTGGTTCAGGATATTCCCAGGCTGCAGCCCAGACTAGGGGACAGATCCAGCTCTTTTAAATTGCCTTTTTTTTCTTTGGGGGTTCTTTCAACAAAGCCTTTGCTCATTTTGGTTGATGGAGCATCCTGACAAGCAGGAGAAACCTCGGTTTTGGGGCTGTTCTGACTTCATACCCCCTAAGACATGAATTTAAAAAGCATAAAACCACATTACAAAAAAAAAAAAATCCCTTTTTATTTTGAAAATTAACTAAAAATTAACTTTTTTCTCTCTATAAGTATTTTTGAAGCCTGAGAAATGGGATTTGTGTCCCTAAGGCTGGCAACTACTGAGCCACTTGACGGAGATCCGACCCCACTGCTCTCAAACCAGTTCCATGGTGAATACATCAGCGGTTCGCTTGCAAAGAAGTTATTTCACTTAATTTTGACAATATTTATAAAACAGGAGGCCACACGCAAGGTGGATGCTGCTGGGCAGCTCTCCACGCTCCACTCACCACGTTGGTGAGGTCTCTGCTGATTTCAGGGATTCGACTTTCCCAGGGTTTCAGCAGCTTTTGGGCAAAAGGGAACACCAGAGCACGAACTGGTCCCAGTGACTTCGAGTCAATGGGGAAGGAGGGAACGGCTCATAGGGAGCTTATCCTTCAGCCCCCAAATCACCAGATTGCTGAATTAAAACACCACGGCACTAATTGGATCTGATGAGCCCCATCCAGCCGAACTAAAGAAAAGAGCATTAGGAGAAGGAAGGAAAAAAAAATCCTTCATTAGGGCTGAGAGGTGAAGATGGAGGCAGAGAGATGGGAAACTGGGCCGCTTACCAACTGGAGCTTTACCAAGGCAAGGAGAACAGAACGGAGGAGCACAGGGAAGGGAAAGCAAAAAGGAAGCGGGTGGAGGGAGAACGTGGAGAGGAGCAAAAGAGCAGGGAAGGAGGAAAGGTTGGTCAGACCCAAAATGATGGCAGAAAGGGAACGAGCTGGGCGCTTTGCTGGGTGAAAATGGCACGGTTTGGAGAAAGAGGTGAGAACACAGAGGTAGGAGCAGGAGAAGAAGGATTAACAGGGATAAGGAGAGAAACTGGACGTGGCAGATGATGGGGAACAAAGAGGAGGACGGGGGCACCCTTGGGGATCAATCTTTATGGGGGAATCGGGAGCGAGGGGGAGATATCAGTTGGGGGAGCGGGTGATAAAGTTTGGTGTAAAAGCTGCCTGAGCTTCATTAAATAAAACTGTGTGGTCGATACCCGTGCTCACAAGCTCCCCATAAAGACTGATCCCCAAGGGTGCCCCAAATCCTGCTCCCACCCCAAAGCAGCCCCCGGGCAGTGGGAGGCTCCCGAGCTGATTACGGGCATCACAGCAGATCCGCGGGCTGTCGATGCAGCCGCGCCGCGCGGCTCACAAACAATTATCGGGAAGAGGGAGCTGGGATTAGAAAAATCCACAGGGGCACCTTCACCTGGAGAGGAGAGCGAAAAATGGTGTGTGGTGTGTGTGAGCTCGGTGCCACGGGGAGGAGGGAGAGCGGGCAGCCAGCTACAGCACCAGGCACGGGAGGGCTCTGGACCACTACACCCGGTCCCATGCAGTGATGTGCAGAGCAGCCCGAGCACCTCCTAGGTCCAACAAGTGTTCCTGGACAAGGACACGAGGTTAAAATGCTGTTTTTTTTCTGCTCTTGAATTTTCCGAGTGCAACGAGCCAGCCCCCGTTCTGATTTATCTCCTTAATGCCTTAGGTTCTCCTCTAGCTTTGGATAAACGCCCTGTCCTCTAGCTTTATTTCTTTTTAAGGACAGAGCTGCAGTATTTAAATGTAATTTTTTGTTATTCTCACTTCCCGGTGGCAGATTTTTAAGCCTGCACATCGAAGCACACCTATCCCCTGTGAACAGCAGCCACACAGCTCGCTGAGCCGCGGGGCCAGGTAGTGCCAAAAATCTGGCTGCGACGCAAGCAGCACAACGCGGATATTATTTTACAGCTACAAGCTTAGGCCTGAGCAGTCCTCACCTCTCAGCTTCCTCAGGAGAAGGTAAATAAATCTCCCTGCTGAAATCCCACACGGCTGAGAGGATGTCTCGGGTTGTAGGGGTGTTTCTAAGACAAAGCACGTTTTGGTTTTACAAGATGCTTTCGCTGGGGTGGAAAAAAAGACAGCCTGGATTGAAACCATCATTTTTGCAACGTCCATTTGTCTTAAAGCAAACTCTGCTTTAATCTCTCAGACACACACTGGGCTTTGCTGGTTGGACTCCTGCACTGTTGTGGGTTTTTTTGGATGTTGGTGGGTTTTTTTACAGCTAAATGTAAAGTTAATAGACCTACATTTTGCACAACCTCTGTGCTTAACCCGTTCCGACTGCAGCTGAGATTCCTGCACGAATCAGAACCCACGAACCCCGTGGGACTACAATAAAAAAATCTCCAGGACAAACGACCACGTCTCAAGAAACCAGAAGCCAAGCAGAAACCCTACAGGAACTCCGAGAGGCCCCAGAAGTCTCATTTCCAGGGGTGACAGAAGCTGTGCAGAGCTCAGCGTGCAAGCAGCTCCACACATCCACCAGCTCTGGTTTGTTTTTTGGTGCAGATTTAGATGTGCAGCCCGGGCAGACAGCAGGGCATCCTCGTGCAGACACCTCTGCAGGAAGCTGCTGCTTCTTTTCCAACAAACCACTCGTATTTTCTCAGAAATAACCTCACTGAGGCTTCTGTACAGGAGAAGGTTGCCCCAGGATGACCTACAAGATATCTACAAGGACAGGAGGGATTTCTTGCTGCAAGAGGAGGCTTTCAGCAGGCAGGAGAGGCTGGAAGGACAGACCTGCACCTTGGCTCAGCTCCTTGCAGGGTGGTCTCGGCAGAAGCTGAGGCTGCAGCCACTGAAGTTAAAAACCCGATGCACAAATTTCTGCTCCAAAACAGGGAAACCAGTGGGAAAGGGAGAAACCCAGCGACTCACCACCGTGGTCTCACGGTCCCCAACCTGCAGCTCTCTCCACCAGTGACATTGCAGCAAGCAGAGCACCTGCTCATGGCTCTTGGCCTGATGGGGTTTGATTTGCATGCATTTATCTGCAGCTGCAGGAACCACCTCGAGCTGAAGTCAGACTTGAAGACCCCAATGCCAAACAGCTGAGGCAGAAGCAAAAAAGGATGAGCAACAAAAGGGCAAATCAAGTTTGGATCAGAAACTAAGAAACATAAAGTATGCAAAAAAGTTATCACCAGCATTAATAATCAAGTTGGGTTTGGTTATGGAGCTTTTTTAACCTCTTAAAAGCTTGACAGAATTAGCAGAGAGTGTGTGTGTCTCTCCCTGCTGGAAGGATTTTCTGTGTAATTACAAACCCTCTGATTAGTGCGGTTCTTGGCGCTGGAATATTTGGGGAAAAAATTTAAAATGCTCTTGGTCTTTCTCAGCTCTTATTACTGCTCTCTGCCTTTGCTTGCCTTCCTCGGGAAAAGCAGCTGGTGGTAATTGTGCATCAGGAACAGCAGCCAGCTATCAGAAACCAAGGCCTAATCCCAGGAATCCACTCAATTGTTTAAAAAAAAACAACAAAAACAACAATTACCACTCCATGTTCAGAAGAGCTGCAAATCTGGAACGATCAAAACAAAAGGCAGGAGGGAGGCTGGCGCATGGAGAACACGATAAAAATAAACCGAAATCGCGGGAGGAGGAGCACAGATCTGGGTTACCTAAGGGTAACCAGAAATCACAAACTATAGGGCGTCCCAAAAACACGGTGCTGAGACGCCAGGAGTGGTGAGAGCTGTCTGCAGCCATGGTGCCTTCAGAAAATGGGGTGCAAGTGCCCTGTGTGAAGAGCAAGGGGGTCAGAGGGGGGGGAAATTTGCTGCATCGGCTCTTCCACCTCTCTACCTGCAGCCACCCTGAAGGTTTCTCCTCCTGATGTCCTCTCCAACCTCCTTACAAGGGATCACTTCAGCTGGTGCCACGATGGAGGAGAAATGCAATCCTGGCAGAGATTTCTTTACCCAAAGCTGAACCGGGAACCGGGTTGGGAGTAGGTGGGGAAAAAAGGAGAAAAAATATTAAAAAAATAAATACTGACAAATATTGAAAAGGAATATTAAAAATAATAATAATAATAATAATAATAATAATTCCTCTAAAATCTCATCCTGAAGGTCTGCAAAGCAGGGGACCCAGACCCAGAGCTGGGTCCGTGCTGCTTCTCCGTGACAGCAAATTCCCCCTCTCGGAACTGGGAAAATTATCAGGTTATTTGCAAAGATTCGCCGAGGCTCCTAGTTTAATTACGAGAAGAGAAAAGCCAAAATCTCCTCTTCCCTCCGCGTGAGGAAGCCGTTTGTTTGTCCCTCGCTCGGGATGAAGCCACAGAGGGTTAAGCTGACGGGAGGCACGATCACAACTCGCCTGCTCTGTCACTCCACCAGCCTTTTCCCTGCGTCGCTTGCCAACTGCAAACATGGAAGGGGCTCGCTTTAATTAATACCGGGGCTCAGCAGACCACTGGAGGCAGTGGCACTTGTTTTCAGGTCATCTGGTCCTAATAGGCTCACACTGGGAGGTGATCTGCTGCTAACTGACAGCAGAGATCAGTTAATGAGGGCTGAAGCCTTCAGGATCCAGCGTGAGGAAACTTGAGGCGAGCGCTAAATTATTTGTCATCATCATTAAAGGAAAAAAAAAAATAAAAAAAGAAAACTGCTCGAGGAGACGCCGGTTATTAATCTATTAATCCAGATATTTACAACATAAAAAAATCACTCCCTGCCTGCAGGATTTGCTCTGTGTGGGGATTTGAGGATGCAACAGGGATCGGCGGGGCTCCGCAGCAGCAGCTCGTGCTCCTCTGCACGGGGACAGCGGGGTGGGCTGGCTTCACCTTGGCTTTACAAGGGTCCCCAGCGAGCACACCTAAAGCACCAAAGCTTAATCCAACAGCTACAAAACTCCTCCAAACATCAGCAAGGAGAAGCATCCATAAAACCCGCTGAACCCTGCTGTCCCCCTGGCCACATCAGTGGGTTTCGGAGGGCTGCAGCCCCCTACAACAAAACTTTTGCCCCTCAGAGCTCCAAACAGCTGCTGTGCCATCGTGTACAAAATTTTGGCACCCCCGTGGCAGTGCAGCTCGGTGTGCCCATCGTGGCGTGGTATCAGCAGCCTGACGAGCCACCCTCGTGCTTGTCACCGGTGGTGACAGCCACCCTGCAGCTCCAGCAGGTCGCTGCTGGCTTGCAACGACTTCTCTGATCCCCAGGTCTTGGTTTTCACAATTCTTCAGGGAATGAGTTTCTCCCACCACCACCGGTGGTCCCACAAAGCCCCCTTTGCACTGTAGAGCTATCTTTTTTGCTTCAGCTCCTCTGCAGGCAGCACAGGAGGGAGCAGGGATATCAGAAAGCTGCATCAGCCGTCCCACCACGGGACAGGGGATTCCTTACCAAAGCCTGTCAGCTCCTCGGGGTGACAAAACTGCCAACATCACTTCTCCATGTCTCCTGCCCTCTATCTGCTCCTGTTGCCAAAACGGAGAGGAATTAATGCCAACAAGGGGAAATGATCTGTTAGCATCCCTCTGCTGCAGCTGTGCTTGCCGGTGGCTGGCAAGGAGGTGGTGGGCAGCAGCAGCACATCAAGCTGGAGCATTTTGCTTTGGTGAATTCACAAGGTGGAAACAGTTCTGAAGTTCCCTGCTACAGCAGGGAACAGCTCACGGAGAGCTGCTGGTGCGCACGCATCTACACGGGGTTAGGAAGTGTGGGAGCTCACATCAACGCCAGGCTGGTCACCACACGGGGCTGGGTTAATTCTGGTAGGAGAGCAGCAGCCAGCGAGCAAGCCAAGCCAGAAATATGGAAAACTACCAGGAAGAAGAGTATCTGGTAAAGCTCCTGCCTCCGTAATTCTGCTATCGATCCCCAGCTTGCTCTAGAGAAGAAAAAGGGGTGACAGTTTTGAAATGAAAGAGAATAGTTTTATAATGGATGGAGGGAAGAAATCCTTTACTCCCCATCCCTGGCAGTGCCCAAGGCCAGGCTGGATGGGGCTGGGGGCAGCCTGGGATGGGGGCAGGGGGCCCTGCCCATGGCACGGTGCTGGGGGGGCTCTGAGGTCCCCTCCAACCCAAGCCACTCTTTATGACTTTACAAACTGCACCTTGTAAAAAATCTGAGCAAGCCCATGCAGCCTCTTGCCCAGGGTACATTAGGAAACGTGGCTACAACCATACATTTCAGAGGCTTATTTGAAAAGCCACCGAAGGAAAGAACTTGTTGAAGTTGCTTCCTAAAAACGCACCTGCCTCCTTGGGAATTAGCTGCCAAAGACTGTGACCTCGTGGTCCCGGCGCATCACACCGCGATTCTGACGATGACACCCCCAGCCCAGGATTTTAGCAATGTTATCATTTAAAAGCTCCTCTAATGCAGATTACTTTAGCTCTGACTCCAACACCAGGCTCCAGCTTGAACGCTGCCCGCGGGTAAAAGCCATCACTTGGAGCTCTGCTGCTCCTTTAGCTCGAGGTGCGGATCCCATAGGGGAACACCTCCAAAAAGCTCAGCGCAGCAGCTCTCACGCTGCCACCCTGCAGCCTCAGGGTCACTCAGGCTGGCATTTTGACTTAGACTAGGCTCATTCACCAGAACTTACTGCACACGTGGATAATTTGAGTCACCCAGCAGCAAAGGCACAATCCGGGACGCAAGCAGAGCACAGAGCAGGACATGCTGGAAGCAATCACTGGTAGAAGTCTCCTTCTGCTGAAAAGTTTGGGCATGCACGGACAGGGACATCTCACGGTTAAAATATTTCCTCGTTATTTGGACTGAATTATGTCAGTTAAAATATAAACATGCTTGGCAATTCAAAGAAACATCTCACAAGCACTGCAGTACTACTGTAAGGGAGCAGTTACGAGTAGGGGAAGATACAGATACAAAGCGTTACCCACTGCTATTGAGACAGCACTTATGACAGCTCCCAAGTAGCCCTGGATGAACTTGGACGTCGGAGAAGGCTTTGGAAAGAAAAACAAAACATATTTTCAATAAACAAACTTCTGGTTATTAAAATACAACCAAGCTCTTGATTTTTTTTTTTTTTTGTATTTGTTTTAAACCAGAGACAGGTTTCGTTTTGTCATATTGTTCGGTGACACACGGTCTGTCGTCTCGCAGCGGCAAAAGCAAGGAACATTCTGACCTCATGAGCAAGGGTAAAGGGAATGGAAAATTAATTGGCATCAGAAAATTATAATAGTAGCAGCTCAAAGAAAGTATGTGAATGGAATTCAACAAATGGTAAAAAAAAAGGAAAAAAAAGAAAAAAGAAGACTAAATTGGCATTCTAATCACTAGTGGTGAACCCCAAACTCTCTGCATAAAATATTTGTCCTCGAAATGTTATCTCAATGAGTTGGATTCCTTCCATTTTAGCTTCTTGTCTTGATGTCCCACATCCCAACAAGAGATGATCGACATTGCAGTAACAGGAAGAGAGCAGGACCATTCATGGGAGCGCTACTAGGGACATGTAGGAAGTCCTTCCGACACAAAAATGTGATCATGGCCCCTTCTTTTGCTATCCAAACACCCAAATAGACATCATCTCCCTTCGTGTTCATTTACGTATCAAATTAAACCATTTCATACCAGTTAGACTATAAATTAAGCACGAAGGCGTTGAGCATCGCTCGTGAGCCTCGAGTGCCTTTGAGATCCTCCTGCCATTTAGAGCTGGAGTTTAAAATGGAAGTGGATTCGGGAGAATGGGCAATCTATAAATTCGTCACAGTGCCTACTCCGCAGTTTCTATTAACAGCAAAGAGACAAGACTTATGTTTCCGTGTCAAAACAGAGCTAACGTGCAGCACGCGCTGCATATGTTGGGTCTCCTCACCTTTGTCGCGTTGCGGTTTGCATAGTTGACGCATGCATTGTGGCTCTGATTCAACCACTGAAGGGGAAACAAAAAGAGAAAGAGATAAATATAACTTCACAAAAATAAGATCTACGAGCACGGGAGCGACGTCTTCGTTTGGGCCTGCCTGGGACTTGCCACATCTTTTCGAAGGCTCGTGCACGCACCAGTTCTGGTCTGATGCCCTTCAAAGCGAGACAGAAAAACCAACGCACGCAGTTTTCACCAGCTCTGCTTCCATACAGAAGCACGTGCACGAGCTCTGGTTCCCAAAACTAAACAGCTAGATTTAAAAACAAATTTCAAGATCATGGTATGGAGCAATTTAGAAGCTAAATTCGGATGCTCTCTGGCTCAGGAGTTTGATGCTGGTGATATTACTGAAGCAAGAAAAGAGGAAATTCAAGGAAGGACCTCCAAAATATCAATACAATTTGGGGCTATCTTGTTGGATATCAGTCCAGCAGGCTACGAGCTGGAAGAGTTGAGACCCGTCCATAAAACCCCGGTGTCTCAGGCACACTACACTCACCGGCTGGCCTGCTGTCACCTCCCTCTCGAGTGGGCTTGTTTCGATTTCGTGTTGGAAATATTCTATCTAGTTTTAAAAGGATCCCCCCTCCTTTTAAAGCTGAAGGCTTCCCCTGACTGCTTTTGGACCAGCTGCAGAGAGATGCGGGAGCAGGAGCTCCCAACCTGAGCAAATTTCAAGACACCTGGCAGTAGCTGTCTCCAGATCGCCAACCTACCCAAAGCCAACTCTTTCCGTCTTCCAAGCCTAAAGCCAAGAAGGCAAATTGCCTTCCAGAGACATGAACTCAGAGCTAAACGCACCAAATCATGAGTTGCTGGGATGCACCTACATATTCTCAGTTGTGCAGTCTTTCTGACATCCGAGGCAGATCCTGTTCTGCTTTGACATTTCCTAGCTGTGTCATTCTCTCCTGGCAGTTACACTGGATAATAAAAAGACATTTGCAACTAAAAATGAAAATAAGATTATTTTTTTTTCCAGTTAGTGCTGAAATATTACTTAATTGGGGCGTTTACTGTGGTTATAACTCATTCATGCGCACACTTCCTCCCCTTACACTTACTTACATCCTCCTTACGATGGCATAAATTGCTGGGCATGACAAAGCAAACCCAACCCTTTGCTCACAGCCCACTCCAGACCTGCCAAACCCTTCCGTGATCACATCCAGCCTCATCACCTTCCTCTTAACAAAGCCAGAGGCTGCTTTCCCTTTCTTTACACTCTCCACCCATCCCGTGCATGGAAGCAGACGAGCGTTACCTGCCAAAAAACAGTGGATGCCAGCGTCTGGTTGGGTAGGAGAAGACCAACAACCTGCAAGAGAAGAGATTTTCATGTTAGTAAATGTATGGTTGGTTTGGGGTTGTTGGTGCTCTGGTAGGCACGAAAGCAGCACGTGTATTTTTATCGACTTGAAGAAGTTGCCTTCATTTATGAATTCATTTCATGGTGAGTGGCCAGAGTACAAACCAAGAGCAATTAGGGAACAGAGCCGTGCCTCCAGTTCTTCTAAAAGTGCCCATTCCATAAAAAAAAAGTGATAAAGGCTAAAAGGGAATGGATTTAGGACACCGCCCTGTCTTTTCCCCTTCAGCCCATCGTCTCTCAATTTTCCAGTGGGGAAACTGGGTAACACAGCTGCTGCTGAAAGCTCTACGACTTCAATTAATTGCTTGCAACACACCTCTAAGAGCCTGGCAGCACGAAATGTCCAAAGATGAGTTCACTAAAAGTAAACGATCGATTTTATCCAAGCATTTCTGGAGAATAACCCAAAAGTTGCAGGAATGCAAGAGTTCAAAATTGCTACTACTGGCAGTCAAGTTTTTTTTTTCTTTCTTTTTTTTTTTTTTTTTTTCTATTTTCCTTTGGCACATTCTCTGTTTCAAGCACAGGGAAGGGATGAGAGCTGAACATCTGAAGACAGGAGTGCCACCTGGAAGCACATGTGCTCCTGTTTGGGAGCCCTGAATTTTGTTTGAAGAGAAGGGAATTGTTGATGTGGCATGCTGGGGAGCTGCGAAAACTCCTGCCTGGGCTCCGAGCTGCGGCTGACGACGGCTCGAGGCAGCCTGGCCCCGCACATCTGGCGAGGCCTCTTCCAACCCAGATGATTTTGTGACTGCGACGCGAGGTGCCGCAGGTTTTGGGAAGTCACCCGGAGCAGCATCTGAGCGCAGCCACGTGTGCGCTGCCCATATGGTCCTGGGAGCAGCCCGGAGATGTCTCCAAATACCGTACGGGCACATCCCACCTCGAACAGACAGCGCGGGGCTGCCAGGCTCCTTCCTACCTCGTTTGACGCCAACCTTTCCTCTTCGAGTCTACGAAGCTGAAGGAGAGGAAAGAAAGAGAGGAGGAAGAGGAAAATGAAAGCTGAAGGGCTCCCAGCAAGGAACCCAACCAAGAGGGACAAGAAGGTGAGTGCTTGGGTAACAAAGAGCCAAGAAGTGATTCTTCCTAACACCATCATTTTCTCCCTTCTTGAGCCTTGCCCAACAGCTTCTGATGATGGTCTTCACGGTACAAACCCACACTTGCAGCTTTGTGAAGGGTCTGAAGACCGAAGGGCTCCTTTCAGCTCCAAACGCGTTGACTTTCAGGACGCTCAAACATCTCCGAGGCATCCACAAACCTGGGCAAGACGGCTCCAAGGTCACTCACTCTCCGTCTTCGGCACCGTTTCCTTTAGGTTTGCTCCTGCAGGAGCCCAGAAGACAAAAAACTTCCCTGTCGTGGCACGGGGAGCAGTGGGATGAGCTCAAGCTGCCTCTGCACATCTACAGCAGCAGCAATTGAAGAGGAGGCAACTTCTACACTCATGGAAAGAAAAACAACAACAAACCAAAGGCTACCAGGGTTGGGTGGCCCAATTTCATTTACATCTTCTTGCCTCTCTCCTCCTCCTCCAGCTTTTCCTCCTCCAGCCTTTCTGGAAGTCGCCGCTCCTCGGTGGGCTGGCTGAAGGCCAAGCCGTGCGAGTTGCCACTAATTTGCTGCTCCCGTTCGAGCTGGGGAATCTCGTCCTTAATTACGGAGCCGCCGGTCGGAGCCGAGCGAATCCAACGGGGGCTGAACCTACCTCGGCCCCGGGACCGACGCTCGCCCCAAAAGTCGTCGGGTTAATGAGGCTTCGGAGGAGAGGGAAGGCGGCCAGCGGCTCCCGCATTGTCAGCCGGAGGCTGGGAGCGAGAGGAAGAGAAGGGAAAGGGAAAATAAATAAATAAAGAGCGCACCCAAAATCTGTATGACTGAAAGAGGCACGTTTAAATGCAAACTCTCCATATGTGCAAGAGTCTGTCAAGAAATGTACAGTTTCACTTTTAATTACTGTCAGGGGAAAAAATAACTAAGAAGGAAAACAAAATATACAGGGGGAAAAAAAAATTAAAAAAAAAAAAGGGTTCTAAACACCAGAAAAGTACTGACTACAAAATTTAATTGCCTATCAGGTGTGAAGAGCCCTCTGTGGCTGCCAAGCCAGGGCTGCAGGCGCTTTGCACATTCGGTTCCGGGCTCCCAAAATCGAGCCCCGTGCCCTGCCTCCTCGTCAGGCGCCTGCGATGGACACGTGGGACTTCTCCAAGCGTTTCCAAGTGGCAGCGAGGCCTCCCGAGCCTCCCGTCTGCCTCTCAGAGGACAAAGGAGAGGGGTTGCAGATTCCTTCGGGCCCTTTGTGGCCGGGGTTGGTTGGAACCGAAGGCGCTGGAGCCGGGTGCTGGGCTGGGAGCTGTCGGAGAGCAGCCAAAAAACGCGAACCTGGCCAAGGGGCCGGCTGTGCTGGCACCTCAAAAAGGCAAAAAGAGAGAAAAAACGAAGGGTTCTGCTCTGGTTTTAAATGGCTGGGGGAAACGATGTGCTCCAAGGGTCCCGGGCTGGGTTTCCTAAGCGCAGAAGAGCTTCGTCCTTGGGTGAATGCCTCCTCCTGGGCTGCGAACCCAAACCAAGGTTGGGGGGAACAAAGGGAGAGTAAAAGGGTGCCCAGCAGCTGCCCCTGCTGTGACCGCTGGCATGTGAAGACAAATAATGTGAGCTGCTTGGTTTTGTGCCTCGTGGGCTGAAATCCAGGTGGGCAGAGACAAAGTGGTCCTTACAAATACCCCGTCCTGCTCGCTCCAGTCCCGCCGTGCCCTCGCAGCCCTTCAGGGGCTGAGCCACGAAAGGACAGAGGCCATAAAAAAAAAAACAACGGTGGCAGCTCTCTGAGCCGGGTCCCTCTGCCCAGGGGACCGATGAGGGCAGAGAACACAGAGCCACGGGATTTGGGGGCGTCAGAAGAGAAGCAATGATTCTTGGCCAGACCTTAATCTCTCCCACAATGAGCTGAACCGTACGGAATTATTTTGCATTAGCTATAGGATGGGGGGGACAAAACCCCCACGGAAAGAGGCTGCGCTGCGTATCGAGCCTGGTAATGCAGAACCCGATCCCGTTGTGGTTTTGGGGTGGTTTAAGTGACCCCAACACAGCGGGGCAGGCAGCCCCGGAGCAGCAGCACGCCGCCACGGCTTCACCGGCGCAGATCCCACGCGAGAGCTCGCCGCAGGCACACCGAGCCTCTCTTGAGGAAATCCCATCCCCCTATGCTAAATGCAAGACTCAAACTGTTTTTATGCTAGAGCAGGCTGCCAATTTTGTCACTAAATTTCACAGATCGATTGGCATAAATGTTACATTTTAATTTTAACATTTGAAACGTTTGGTTTTCTTTTTTTCCTTTTTTTTTTTTTTTTTAAATGACAAGAGGTTCCAGTTTATCCTTTACAGCTAGCGAAATTGGGCTCATCTGACAGCTCTCGGCTCCTCTGACAGCTCTGGATTTGGGCCGATTTCATTGTCAATTTGATCGTTAACTCATTTTTGTTTAACCTTTTCTTTCAAAATGCCCCCTACAAAGTTACCGCCGCGACGTTCCGCACGACAACAAATAGTACCAGCAGGGCTGGGCTCTGCCTCCAGCTTCCAGCCACCCTGCTACCACCGGTCGGGAAGGGATCGCTGCCTTTCAGCGAGCTTCGTGCCACCGTCCCCTGGGTTTAGGAAGAGGAAATTTAGCAGATTTCGCTCCTTCGACTGTTTTAATGCACTTGACCTCGTAGGCTGGGAGAAGAGCTGGAGGCTGCCCAGAGCAGGCTTCATTCGTTCAGCCTTCTGGCATCAATTTGGGTGGTTTGGGGCAAAACTCTGCGCCCCAGCTGGCCCGTTCACAAGAGGAGGTTAATTAATAGCTACGGCTCTGAAGATGAGCTGGGGTTTCAGCAGGAGGAGCAGAGGATTATCTCCGTTCTGGCTGTCAAGAGCACCCAAACGCTTGAAGATTTCTCAATAACAAGTACCAACCATAAAACGCCCTCAGCAGTAACCCCACGTAAAGCACTGGCAGCTTTAATTAATCGAGACGAGGAGACACGGCGCCGGCCTCGCCGCGCTGCAGCTCCCCGCGTTTCTCAGGGCCGGGAAGCGACTTGCAAAAACATGCAAATAATAATGGGGGAAAGAAAAAAAAAAGAAAAAAAAAAAAAAAGAACCCACAACGCCTCCAAAGATGAATCCACGGAGTTGCAGAAGTTGCAGGCAATGAGCTCATCCTGGTCTTCCCTTTCCAAAAGGGAAGCACGGAGCTGGAGACCAGCGGGAGCGGTGGGAGGTGGAGAAGGAGCCCGAGCTGTGGCCACGGGGCACGTTTTGCACCACCGAGCCCTCGTGAGCGTGCGAGGGGAAAGGTGTGAACCCCGCGTGAAGCTGCGGCGAGGCAGCACGGCAGAGTTCAGAGAATTGTGTGCGGGTGCTAAAAAATGCATTTCCTGTTACTCGCAAGCAAAGCGGGGAGGGCTGCTGAAGTACTTACGATGGGCGTTCCGAAGGGAATGTAACCTATTAAAAAAAAAAAAGAAAAAAGAAAAAAAAGAGAGAGGCATGCATTTTAATAGGTGGTTTGGGGCTGGAAAAACATCACACCTCCGAAATCTAGCAGCTCTACCATTTTAGGGTACAAGTCACACCTGGCACGGCAGCCTGCTCTCGCGTCTACCAGCCCGCGCCACCGCGGGCACGGAGATGTCAGCAGCGAGCATCAACACGAGCAGACCCCAGGTGCTTTCTAATTCTTCCCATCCTCTTTTTTTTTTCTTGGGTCGGGGTCTAAGAGTTTCCCTGAGACTTATAAAGCCTCATCTAGACCCTAAAATTGTGCCAGCACGGAGTGTGAGCACTTCAGGGCGGACAATGTACATTCAGAAGCAGGACCATGGTGGGTCCTCCCTCTCCTACCTCTCCAATAACAACTTCCCAGCAGGGGAGCTCCTTTATTTCTGGGTCACTTGAAAAAGGAACAGGGTATAAAGACCCTGAAGAAAGCACATTTCGCTCAGGAGTGGAGGAGATCTGGGCAATTTTAATCATAGGTAGAAGTTAAAGCTCTCTGTTACCGAGAAGGCTTCACCCCAAATCTCGTTGAGCACCACAAAAATCAAACGCTTCACGATTTATCCCTGCTAGGACTGCCAATTTTTGTGCTAAATATAATTTATCTCTATGAATTCCACCAGAAGGTCTCAGCATCTCCCCAGCATTACTGAATTAAGCCTCACAGGTCCAACCTAAGTCAGGAAGGGCAACGACCCGAGAGGATGAAAGATTTTTCCAAAAGTACAGAGCGAGGCAGCAAAGGAGTGGGTCCTGGCTTTTCTTCCCTGCACGTCTCCTCAAAACCCATCAGCCCCAATATTTTTCCCCGTGGAAATACGGAGCAGGTGCTATTAAGGAGGATGCTCTCCGTCCCTTTGGGAAAGGACCAAAAAGGTCCAAGGTGCCCTCGCACCCTCCTGCGAGCAGTGACCCCAGCACACAGCAGAAGTAGCTGCAGATCCGAGTGCTGCAAAGGGACACCCCAAAAGGGGAAGGAGGAGGTGAGGATTTAATGATTAAGCAGCCGCCTAAGCCAGGAACAAACACAGCTGATCCTTCCCAGGCTTCCCGCTGGTGCAGCTATTGCGTACGTTTAGTTTTCAGCGTTTATTTTTAAAAATAGAAGCCGCACCAGGGGAGGACCAGACTGGGTATTAGGAAAAATTTCTTAACCGTGAGGGTGGTCAAGCACTGGCACAGGCTTCCTAGAGGGGTGGCTGTGCCCAGTCAGTGTTTGAGGCATTTGGATGCTGCCCCCATAAATACGCTTTAACTTTTGGGCAGCCCTGCAGCGGTCGGGAAGTTGGTCTCGGAGATATTTGTGGGTCCCTTCCATCTGAAATGCTCTGTTTTGTTGTGCACATGGAGAAACAGGGCTCACCCTGCTCGATCCTGCAGGGTAAAAACACCACGCTGCTGGCTAGGCAGCAAGCTTCAGCATTGCAAAGCTAAAATGATGCTACAGGATGGATGCCAGAAAGGACATGAACCCGGTAAGGAGAGGAAAACTCTGAGCATTAGATCTTATGTGGGTATTTAGGATCCTAACTCACCTTGACTTCTACGGGATTTAGGCATTTGGGTTATTTCCTGGTCCTAATCTAAACACATACAAGATGAACTGCAAAAACAGAGGGGAAACCGACAGCATTTCGTACAAAGTCCCAGTGAAATTAATGAGTGCCTGGTTGGGCTATACTCTACCTGACATTCTGAAAGGCATGAAGATGGTCTCGTTTGTGTCGGGGTGGATGATGGCCTGCAAAACAGTCAGCAAACAGCCACGGTGAAGGAACAGAAACCACAGGTGAGCTCCCGAGGATGCCGCCAGCCTCGCTGTGCCCGCGGCTCTGCTGGAGGCACCTCCTGTCCTGAGGCCTCCTCCTGCTGCTGCCTTCCCATCTCCTTAAGCAATTTAGCATAAACTACAAATTGATAAGGAAATAATTTCATTTCAAATACAGAAATGTTATTTCAGAATGTGTCCGGGCTTGGAGCAGAGCCTGCCAGCGTGGTTGGCACCGCGAGGGTCACCCAAACAAAATCCTCGTGTGCCATGGGCAGCCCAGCCTCCACGGAAACCCGAATTTTGGTCTCCTGATGACCAATAACAAAACTCACCTGGCCCACTTGCCTTTAAAAAAAAAATTACATGGAGGCTGCATTAAGAGGCAGGGGACAAAAGCCCCCGTCCCTCCGTGATCCGGGAGCGCGGCGGAGGGAGGCGCCGCGCAGCCACGAGCCTCCCCGAAGAGCTGCCAAACTATTTCTGAAAGGCTGGAGACAAGAAATCTCTTGACAAGACAGGGAGGAGAAAATGAAGACATCAAAATATATAAATACAAAGCAAAAAAAAATTTAAAAAAAGCAAAAAAAAAATCAGACTCTTGGGTGGCAAACAGTGCTCGCTGCATTTACATGTCTGTGGCAAGGCAGAACAGCAACTGGCAGAGTCACCGACGGAGAGAGGACAGCATCACTCAGCAAAAAGGGAAAAAGCAGCAACGGGAGGGAAATATAAAAAAAAAAAGAGCATTACCTGCTTTATTTTTTGAGCGGCCCACAGCTAGAAAAACAAAAGAGAAAGTGACATTGAGAAAAGCAGCAGTGAGAGCTTTCCCCGTCCCGAGGCTCACGCCAACCCCCAAATATTCATCGTGCAGCTGCTGCGTTCATTTTCTGCATCCTCCCGGACCTCACACTCATATTTAAAGCTTTTACACAGACCCAGCTCCTTCCAGTCCATGTGGCCGGCAGGATACCAGGCAGAGAAGTTATTCTTTTATATACTGAATGATGAGAAAGAACCGTGGGCTTTACAGATCAGGAATTATCTTTGAAACTCTGCTGTGCGTGGATCCCAAGGTAAATTTAGCCCAGCCCTCCCCTGAAGGAGCTTCCTGCGGAAACCAGAGCTCGCCGGGGAACAAAGGTGGAGGAAGCAATGCGGGGAAATAAAACCAAGCATCTCTTCACATAAGCTCTGGATTCAGAGCAAGCTACCACGAGTTTTATATATATATATTTTTTTTACAAGGGAAACGCTTTTGCAGAAAAATACTCCTAAAGGGGAAAAAATCTCATTTAAAGCTCTCGCGGGTGCCTACTGTTATTTACTGATTGCAAGTCAGCAGCCACAAAACACCCCAAAATCTGGCTCGGACAGCAGAGATCCATGAGAAATAACAGAAGAAATACAGGAGAAATAACAGAAGCTGTACAGGAGATGCGGATCCAGCTGATGAGAAGGGGACCAAGAGACACCTGGCACGCTCTGCAGGGCTTAAATGCAAATGATAAATCTGGAAAAAAAATAAAAATCCCCATTTCGATGTATACATTTCTAGAGGCAGACAAATAAAACGCGACTCCCAAGAGTTAAATTGCCTTTGCTATTAAAAAACTGTTCTACCTTTGCAGCTAGGGTCTGGCTTTGTCTCCCAGCCACCAGCCTGTGCTGCACCTCTGTCTGACAGCCTTCAGAGCCGTCTATTTTTGTTCTTCGCACAGGTACTCAGAGCTGCTAAATCCCCCCTGTAACCTTCGCTTCAAGAAAAAAAGGAAAAAAAAAAAAAAAAAAGAAAACGGCAGAGCCAGGAGACTGGCTGTTTCCTTGGCAAGGCACATTTGCCAATCTCTTAGCCACCCTCGTGGCTCTTTTACATCTTTCCAATTTGTCAACATCCTCTTGAATCGAGGCCGCCAGAAAGCAGACAAATTATTCCAACAACAGTTGTACGGGTGCCAAACCCAGGGTAGGCTAACCTGATGATTTCTGCTCTTGCTGTTGATAAATCCGAAGATACTGATAGCTCTTTTCGCTCGGAGAGCTCGTGTTTGTCTGACTACCCACCAGCTTACCTACCCGAGCACCACGGGCTCATTCTGCAGTCCAGGCACTCACGCTTGGATTTCGTTATCATTACGGCATAAATTAAGCACAGCTCTGCCATTCCCCTTCACCTAAACACCGACTCGCTCCTTCCCCAGATAAGAAGCCACAGAAATGCTGCTGGAGTCAGGTAATTATTTGGCTTTACGCGGCACGAGTTGACCCACTGATACCAGCAGGATTTTGCTCCAAATCCAGCTCTCGCTCCAGAGCTGGAACTCCGCACCCAACGCCACCGCGTGCGATGAGTTACTGGAGCAGCTAAATGTCACGGGCTGATGCACGCATCCCCGGGGCTCTTTCCTGGGGAAAACATCCCTTTTTGAGGAAAAAAATCGCTATTCTTCATTTTACAGATGAAAACGCAACGAGGCAATCGTTGCGCTTGGCAGGCACACAGCTGGATCTGCCCTCATTAACCCCAAAATCCAGAGGGTGGGAGGCCACGTGCCAAGGCATCACCAGGGCTTTCCCCCCACATGTCACCCACCAGCTTGAGGGTTTTTGAGGGTTTTTAGGGGATGAGCACGCTGCAGGTGCCTGCTCAGGGAGGTCCCAGCCATCCTGGGGCTGCTCAGGTCTCGTGCATCCGAGCTGTGAAACCAAGCCACGAGATTTTCCTCTCCGACTGCAAGCACCAAGACCAGCAAAAAGGAAGAGGGATGGTTTCTGAGCCAGCGCTATGGCTTTTTTGGTCAAGTTATCTAATTTCATTAATTGATCCCAATATTTATGCATTTTCCTGCTGCAGTGCAAATATTGTTAGAACATGTGATTTCATTACTTCTCAGAAAGAGACTTTACAAGATGCACCTGATGAGTCACCTAAAGATTCTGCCAGCTCATTTTCACTTCTTTATCCTCTAATTCATTTTCTGCCTGCAGCATCTTTCAATAGCTCCAGTACTCCCAGGAGTCTTGCCAGCTGGGGAGCTCGTTTCTGAGAGCAAGGCTCTGGTTTTGCTGGGGATTTCATTCACGCTCTCTCCGGCCATCTTCGAGAAGCAGCCAGGTTTTGAGCTCATTTACACCAGCATGAATCCACAGCATCTTCACGGGAGCAGGTGGAACAGCTCCAGATTTCTGCTCAGTTTATGTCAGAATTGGGTCCATCATCTCTAAATATAGCCTGCACAGGGTGGGTCTCCTCTAGCAGATGTTCCTCCTTTACATCTTAGTCTGTATTACTGACTCAAAGCTACACAGGGATTTTGCCACCTTTCTAATTCAGAGGCAAGAAACAAACCTGTTCACACACGGATTTACACCAAAAACCCCAAGGATGAGGGTGTAGGAGAGTTGGAGCAGGCAGCAAAGGACAAATTGCTCCAGCCTGTGGCCAGTGGAAGCTGCCAGCAGAATGAATTAGCTTCTGCTTCATGGAGACATCCTTTACGGCTATGAAGAACTCCAGGACCATTCACAAAAATGCTCCCAGCACCAGCATTTTAGGATGCTGAACTCACAGACGAGGTTTCCATCCATCCTTCCCAGGGTTCTGCTTTTTCTGTCATTTTTCAAGGAAGGGATTCGCACCTCTTTGTTCACCACCTACAGCTTTAAAAGGCATGAACTCAGGAACTGAGCTCAGTTACACAGAAATGTTTTGTGCTTGTGGGCTTGAAGGAAGGGCATCAAAGACTGCCATGATCCGAAGAGATCCAAAGCTGCAGTAAGGAAATAAAGAGGGGAACAACTCTTGGGGAAGAGATGTGGTCTTTGGTTGACAGGACGTTCATTAGCATTCCTTACTTAGCTGCAAAATCGCAGCTTAGACACAGCTTTCAAAAAAGTATTTATTTAAAGACTTTAGCCAGCCCAAATCTATTAGCTAACACCTGCCACTACAAAAACAGTACGCAGGGTACCAGATATTAAGAAATTAACTATCTTCTTATCAAAAGCAGGGAAATTTCACGGTCCTGGACTCAAAGACGGGACTTTTGTCCCCTCTCTACAATACAAGTTTCACTTAGGTCAGAAAGCTGAGCTTGCAAACTGTTCACCCTCGATTGCAGCAGGCTCCAGCACCGCTAAAACGAGCGGCCACCTCTGCCCGAGGCTGGACCTTGTCCAACTGCTCCTCTGCGAGCTCGGACCCCACAGGCTGAGGTCAGAAGGGCTCCGACAGGTCCACAGCACCGCCGTGGTGCCAGAAAGGCCTCCCTGCAGTCCGTGAGATTGTGAGATTTGTGCCAGGAACCCGCAGAAGCTGCTCCAACGCTCCCCTCCTTCAGCTGCACGGCGTGGCAGTAGGCAGCCGGCGGTCTGAAATCCTAGAGCAATGCCATGTCAGCAGTAACCCTATGCAGAAAAAGAAATCCCTTCCCGATTAATCACACTTTCATGACAAGGCACAGCTATTTTCGAAGAGCTAACGAGGAGTTCGATGGGCCTATGTGCCAGGGAAACCACAGAGGCCTAAGGGCCGCAAAACAAAGCGGCCTACCTGCATTAAACTGCACCTTCACTCACTGCACCTTGCAGGATTTCCCCAGAGAAGGCAAAGTAGAAGAATTCCTCCAAAAAGGGTTGTTTTGTCCCTCGGGTAGAGGCAGAGCTCCCTCTCAAATCCGCTGGTCCTGCTTTGCTCCAGCAGGGAGGCTCGCACCCCTCTGCCAGGCCCTGCCTGTACCCACAGGGTCCCATTTTAACGAGGTTAACGGGCTGGAGCTGGCACCCCCGTCACAAAGTGCCAGGAGTTTCACACTCCTGGAGCTGCAGATTTTATTAAGGCAAAGCTCAGATTATCCATCCCACGCTGATTTCCAAATATTGGGCGTCGGGACCAGAACATGTGATGCAGCAAAGCTGAATTAGAGCGAGCTGCCTTGACGTGAGGGACAGCCTCCAAAACCAGAGGTGATTTTCACCGATCCCAATTGTTTAAATGACATGAAACCAGGGGAAAATAAATAAATAAATAAATAAATTATGGTCCAAAAGGCCTAACTTACTGTACATGCAGAGTTCACTGAGGAATAGTTCAGTCCAAAGACCTGGGTTGGGCATCGTGTTACTGGTAGTAGTGACTGAGTAAATTTTACTTCATCCTACATCCCTTAACTGGTAGTCATATGGTCAGAATAAGACGCCAGGGGTGAGACTCACCCCCTCTAACAGACATCTACAACATCCTAAACATTTTCTGCAGCATATCCTCTGGATGCTCTTTGTGTCAGCAGGCAGAAATTGGGCAGCTCCTCTCACCCCCAGCAGATGAGCAGTCCTGGCTGCACTCCAGCAGGGCTTGCTTCCCTCCACTGACTTCAGGATGGACCCTACACCATGAGTTCTGGCTCAGATTGGCCCAAAATGTAAAACACCCCGAAGCACCAAGCAGTGTTTTTGGGAAGAAAGTCACGTCTGTAGCACGTAGAGCTGGAGAGGTACAGCCACGCACGGCCCCACCACTGAAACCCCACTCTCTGAAATATGAGGTCCGTTCCAAACAAGAGGTGTTCTCACTGACATTATTTCCCTTGTATTTCACTAAGATACTGACAGATTTTATTGTTTTCTTAAGTTTTTGTTACAGATGGAGACCTCCCAAGTGCCCGCTGCACTGCACTCTCCAACACATCATCCTTGTTTCCAGCACCACATTTTTTCCTATTGCCTTCCTAATTATTAAAAGCATTTATGGTGGTCAGTCCGCTCCAGAAAGCATCCCT